TGGAGCAGAACTCTGGGGATGCGCTAGTAAATCAAATATAGCCATAATACAAAGGAGCCAATCTAAAATTCTACGGATGATAACGTAATGGTATGTCTCCAATCATACTCTACATGAAGACTTAAAAATTCCGTACGTCAAAGAAGTCATCCAAACTCGGGGTAAAAAACATTTCATTAGACTACATGATCACTCCAATACCTTACTTAAGCCTCTACTTGAACCAGTATCTACAAGAAGACTTAAAATACAATGGCCATCTGATTTGAAAGAATATTAAGGAGGATTTTTCACTGGAGAAGACCTCATCACGTTAACTGGAGCGTCATTGCTCTCAAGTCATCAAATTAGCCCATAGAATTTCCTTGCAATTATTCTAATTGCTAATAAATCATAATAAAAAAAACTTATTTTGACTCAAAATATACGTAGTTCTTCTAGGTCCACGGAATATTGCAACTCCCTGTATATTGTCTAGGTCTGCTTTGGAAAAATAAATTCTCCAATTTTTTTTTCTCAAAAACTATGCGATGTGGCTTTTTTTTACAAGAGACTAAAAATGTAGTGAATACTAGAGGGACCATTTAAAAGTAGTTTTCATCCTTCTCGTACTTTTTCTTGATTTTTATGAAAGTCAAATGTTAAAGCACTTAGCAACATAACATAGACACCCAAAATTTCAGTTAAATCTGAATAACGGTTCTTAAAATATCTGAAAAAATGTGTTTATTTTTTTCTTTGATTTTTTTAAAGTAATGCCCTCTACCGGACAAACGAAGCACTTTTGTATAGAGGTAAATTGTGTTCAATGAACTTATTTTGATTCCAAAAATACGTAGTAGTTCTATGTCCAACATAGACCCGATTCTGCTTTGTTTCGTAGCTACAGGGTGTTAAAGTCTTAATATTTTTTCGATTTGTTATAATTTTCTTCCAAGTACTTTTAGCTTTTCGAATGAAATGTTGAGGGTAAAAGTTACTATAAATGCGACATATTTTCTAGTTGAAATCAGCGTTCAAATTATTTGTGGTGTGAAAATAGTGCTGTGCCTTGAGTGTAGCTAGCAACCCAAGTAGCAAATTTTATTTTATAAAGGCTGTATAAACAGCTATATGATCATTTTTATAGGATATCTCAATTCATATAAGGTGCTATAAGACCGTAATATGATAGCTTTACAACCAAAAAAGGCCCATTTTTATACAACCGTTTAGTAGTATAGAAGTTCTATAAAAAAGGTATACAACTCTTAGGCAACTATTTTACACAGCGTCATATAACTATTATAAAACTAGTTTTATTGTGTATTACGTGGTCACATCTAAGAAACAGAACAATAAAAACATTTGATCATTTAGCGAGGTAAAAGAGAATTTTATTTTTTACCGAAGAATATTAGGAACAAATTATATTTCAAGCGTGTCGTAAAATGAATCTAGAGGATGTGGATTGTTAAAAAGGAGACTTTACTCGACAATGAAAATAGCGGGTAGAGCCAGAAGGTACAACAAATATGTAATATAAAAAATCATTAATAGGGTTTGAAAAGTAGGGACAATTTTTGTTGCGCCGAAAATTTTACTGGTAGATTATAGGTATGTATTTGGCAAAAAATTAAAGCGCTTTAATTTCGATTAAGGTTTACGTATAAATTTAAACAATAAAATAAAATAAAATTTTCAAAAATTCTTGTTTTTAATTTAATTAAACACTTTATTACTGTATGTGGGAATCTTATCACAAAATAGTTCTCAAAAATAACATTTTAAAATTTATTTTGATGTTTTTAATTTTGCTTCATATAATGGCGGCCATAGGCCAAACAAAAATTCTGCCTTAAACATGGCGAATTATAATGCAACCATTTTATTATAAATGAATCCCTTAAATAAGTCTTTGTTGTAAAATAAAACGGTATAGGATAAATATCTATCATTACGCAGAATTTCCAGGCACTATAGAACTATTTTGGACATATTCAGATTTGTGACAAATAGATATTGCCAAATCTCATTTGATTAGTATTTAAACTAACAAACATGATCAGATTTTCATGGATTCATGCATGCCCGACGAGTGAGTGGCAACCTAAGGACTTGGAAAAACAACAATAAAACAATACAAACATTACTACAATAAAACTTTTACATCAACTTGGCAACAATGTTTTGAAGAAGCCAGACAACCCGAGATATTTTGGCTCTTGGGAACCCAGGGAATTCTCAGGATTATTTGCCGTAATTTCGAGGAGTTTTTTCTTACATGCTCTTTATAACTACCACTGCGTTTGTTAACTTTTTTCCAACTTTGTCCAGAATTCATAATAGCTGTGATTGATTAAACTCGTACGTAGATATTACTACAACAATAACAACAATAACAAAATAAATAACTAGGTAGACCATTTAATTTAAAATGAGGTTATATTATACATTACCAGTTCTATAATACAGATATTACAGCGAATTTATTTTGTTAATCACATTTTATCATATAAGGCTATATAACTGGTGTTGTATACAGCACCGTAGTTTAACGCAAAAAAACATTCATTCAAAAAAATCATACAACGTAATACAACTTTAATAAGACAAGTTTAAGTAACTATTATATGATCTTGTGACTACTAGTTATATGAATATTATAGAACTCTTTCATGGTGGGTATAAGAGTCTAATAAAATAATATGTTTGTTATCATATAGCATTGCCTTATTAAGTGTTATATCACACTAAAAGAAATTATCGTTTAATGCGGTATAGGATACGTTGTAAAAACCACTAGAAAATAGTTTAATATGACAACTTTTACTAAAAAGCAGAATGGTCGAAACCAAACGCTTAATAAAATCAAGCAGTCCTTAAGACAACGCTATTCGACTGTTATAAAATAATTCAATCCGTTTAGAATTTCTTTTTGCTACTTGGGAAAAACTGTGACTTTTTTAGAATATCTGTGGTTTTTACATCAGATGAGGTTTCAAACTTAACCTCTACAAATTGTGGTATGTAGTTGTTTGTTGTTTCATACCTGTTTTTCATACAATACGAACCACTTTCTCTCATAAGTATGAGAGATTTTTTAATTTTTTTTTTACAAATTGCTTATATAGGTTTAATCGAGGGTTCAATAGAGAAGTAATTCCTGGGGAGAGCATTAAAAAATTATTCCAAAATAGGAAAGGTACATGATTGTTCCTGTGCCTGTTTAAATAAAAATTCTGCCAAATATCCAATCATGTACCCTTCCTATTATTTATTATTTTGATGTAATTGCTTCTTCAGAAAATGTAGAAATAAATAGTGAACAATATGCTTCATTATTATTTATAGCAGGATATTGCTCTCATTCAGTAATAAAATACACTAGTGGGTGTGAAATATGCAAAACTGTTATAACTTCAAACGAAGAATTTACTGTCCATTTTGAAGACAAAGTATCAAATGTTAGTGAATACTTACTCAATATTACCCGAGGTGCATTGAAAACACCATCAGAAATAGTATTTCAATTTGTTATTGACATATTTAAAATATTTTGTATGCTCATATCATCAGACTATGAGCATGAATTTTTAACTTTAACATTTTGCCAGCAAAAAATTCTTAAAAAGTTGGCTTTAGTCAAGGCGGAAGATTTCATGGAAAATTATCCAGAGATCTGTAATGCATGTAACAAGTCTTTTAAAAGCATTATTATAAAAATTGCTCATGTCTTGAGTAATATTTTTCTGAACAACTATACTAAAAATCGTTCTGATCAAGCGTCTGTATCAAACATGACAGAAGTTTCTTCTAGAAAAAACAGAAAATTACTCACATTTTCAAAATAATAAAAAAAACCGTGATTAGATTAGGTATAAATTTATAGTACTAATGTTATAAAAATGTTTTTCTAACCTTTAACCATATGCATACAATTTTTGTGTATTTCTAATTTATTTTTTCAATAAATTATTTTTATAGAAAGCTCCAGTTGTACTTTATTTGTTACTAAAATAATACTTATCTGGCGGGATCCGAATCGAATATGACATTGATATGACCCTCATCTTGTGACGTCACATTTTCCAATATTGCGGCCATAAAATTCACGTAGGCCTCGGTATCGCCATATTCACCAGGGACGTGCATATGGGTTATCTTCTGGAATATTTTTCTAAAAAAAGCATGTACGCCACTGACTTTTTTCTCTTGTTAGCGAAATAGTGTAAGCTGTTTAATGCCGATTAAAAGCTGTCTCCAAGCGCAGCGCACCAATGTGGTACGTACACACATTGGTGCGCTTATTAGACTTGGATCAAGGCAAATTAGAAAAATTGCGTTTATCTCATCAAGGAGGCCGAATTCGACAAAATATCAAGAGATAACTTTTAATTGGCATTAAACATCCTACTCAATTTTGATATTAAAAGAAAAAAGTCAGTGGCGCACATATTTTTTTTTGAAAAATATTCCAGTGATAACCCATATGCACGTCTCTGATGAATTTATCAACACTTTTTTAGCATTAAAATAATGTAGCACTTATAGTAATTTTTACCCTCAAAATTTTATTCAAATCACTAAAAGTACGTGGTAGAAAATTATAATAAATCGAAAAAATATTAAGACTTAACACCCTGTAGCTACGGAACAAAGCAGAATCGGACCTATGTTGATATGAAAAATAAATCTTATTTTTACGTGAGGAATCTCCCCACGAGAGATGGCACATGTTTGTTGAAAGACCCTGTAGAAATATGTTTTATAGTTTTCTAGGACATGCTTTTTATACCACAAATTTTTTAAAAATATGCTTTTTTGAATTTAAATGACACGATTAAAATAAAAAAATCACTTGATTTAAATCTTGCCAACCGTGGTCCAGTTATATTTATTACTGACTACATATTTTATATAAATATCTTGCAAAAGAGTTCCCTCAGAAGTTTTTTTTAATAATTTAATAGATATGAAGAGTGTATTTTTTTGTAATATTAATTAGGATTATATTTTAGGTATACCTGTGGTAATGCATAAAGAAGAAAAGATGTATGTACCCACCATGATTTTTGGTCATCTTTTAACTTCATCAAATTATAATGACGAAGAAGAAAAAGTTACAGGTGGTAGAAATGGTTATGGTGCCAAATTATGCAATATTTTCAGTGAGAAATTTATTGTTGAAACTGCTTCTAAGCAATATAAATACCAGTTTAAGCAGACTTGGGGTACTAATATGACAAAAGTTTCTGAACCTAAACTAAAGCAGTTTCATGGTGAAGATTTTACCAGAATAACTTTCTGGCCAGACTTAGCTAAATTCAAAATGGAAAAATTAGATGCTGATATAGTTGGAATAATGTCAAGGAGAGCCTTTGATGTTGCTGCTTCTACCAGAGGAATCAAAGTGTTTTTGAATGGGGAAAGATTACCTGTAAAAACATTTAAAGATTATGTTGATTTATATATAAGAGGGCAAGAGGATGATGAAGGAAATAGTTTAAAAGTTGTTTATGAGCAACCAAATGAACGTTGGGAAGTGGCAGTCACAATTTCAACGAGTGGTTTTCAACAAGTGTCATTTGTCAATAGTCTTGCCACTACAAAAGGAGGACGTCATGTTGATTATGTTGTTGATATGATTGTAAAACAAGTAATAGAAATTATAAAAAAGAAGAATAAAGGAGGGACTGCTATTAAACCTTCTCAAGTTAAACAATACATGTGGATCTTTATAAATTGTTTAATTGTAAACCCTGGTTTTGATTCTCAAACCAAAGAATATATGGACTTAAATGTGAAAAATTTTGGCTCAAAATGTAATTTGTCTGAAAAATTTATGCAGAGTGTAGCAAAAAGTGGCCTTGTAGAGTACATTCTATCTTGGGCTAAAAATCAACAAAAAAAAGAGCTGGCTAAAAATAGTGCTGGTAGGAAACAACTCAAATTAAAAGGAGTTCCTAAACTTGAAGATGCTAACGAAGCAGGATCAGTTAGGGCTCTAGAGTGCACTCTAATCTTAACTGAGGGAGACTCAGCTAAATCTCTAGCTGTATCAGGACTTGGTGTAATTGGCCGTGACTATTATGGTGTTTTTCCTCTAAGAGGTAAATTACTTAACGTGCGTGAAGCTACACACAAACAAATTACAGAAAATGCTGAAATAAATAATTTGGTAAAAATTATTGGTTTGAAATATCATAAGAAATATAATACAATCGCTGATATGAAGACATTAAGATATGGCAAGGTAATGATTATGACTGATCAAGATCAGGATGGTTCTCATATTAAAGGTCTAGTAATCAACTTTATTCATCACAATTGGCCTGAATTATTGAGACTTAATTTTCTCGAAGAATTTATTACACCTATTGTTAAAGCTAAAAAGAAAAATAGTGAATTATCATTTTATTCTTTACCAGAATTTGAAGAATGGAAACGCGATACCCCTAATCATAACACTTACCAAATAAAGTATTACAAAGGTACAGTAGAATATTAATTTTGGAATGTTTTTAACCTTTTTTTTTTAATTCAAGGTTTGGGAACTTCTACTTCAAAAGAAGCTAAAGAGTATTTTAGCAACATGGCTAGGCATCGAATTTGTTTTCGCTATAGTGGTCAAGAGGATGACGATCATATTGTGTTAGCTTTTAGTAAAAAGCATATTGAAGCTAGAAAAGAATGGCTAACAAAGTTTATGGTTGAAAGGTAAGATTGGTTTTATACTTTGTAAATGCTATATCTTCAGCTTAAAATATATTGAACAGTTTTATATTTACATCAGTACCATAGAATTATAAAGCTTTTAAGACAAATCATTCATAAAACCATTTTTTGCACGCCAACAGTCGATTACGTCATGTGTAAGGCGTCTTGTTTTTTTTTCTAGGGTTAACAAATTATTAAAATACATATAATATTTCTAGGGGTAACAATTAACAAATTCTTTTTTTTTTCAAACGCTACAAAAATATTAATTTTTGCGACATGATACTACAACCAAAGAATATACCTAGCTAGAAAAAGAATGGACTCTGCCATACTGAAAAATGGTCCTACAGAAGTGGCGCCATCTATTGAGTAGGGCTTATTTTTAATGGATTGAAGCGCGGGCTTTTTAAATGAGCGTATTTATTGAATTTTACTCTAAAATTATTAAATTTGATTATTAAATCTTATTTTTTACACAAATTCAACAATACTAATGACAAGTATCGTTGTGATGTGTAAAAAATAAGATTTAACAGTATAATTTATACAATTATTAAATTAAATTAAAGCCAAACATGTGAAATATTATTTATTATTTAAAGTTTTTATTTATAAGTCAAATATTTCACGTAAACATCGTTTATTATAATAAAACAAGACCAACGTAATACACCCAAAGTTTTGAAAATGGAGTAAATATAAATAGGTACTTAAATGATGGCAAAAATAAAAGACTTACATTATATTTTTAGGGCCACAAACAAAAGGAATTGTCTAATTAAAACACATCTAGGCATATAACAAATTATAGTTTGAAAAACATTTTGATAATCATTTATTTGATAATATTATGATTGGCGCTATGACAACGACAATATTTTTTGAGAATTTGACAATAATATGACATTGGCCGTTGGAAACTATGGAAACTACAAAAAAATTCTGATTTAACGCCATCTGGCAATAACTAGTAGCAACTTCTTAAGTAGCGATGGGAACTATCGAATGAATTAGACTATCGAATGGTTACTGAATTAATGATTTCATCTATCGAATGGTTTCATTCGAATAAAATCATTCATTCATTTGTATACTAAAGCATGTGACAACCTCGCCGTGCGACCAAATGGTTATCGTTAAGCCACTACTATCGAATGCTTTAGATAAATGAAATTTAGTATTCGTTTGATTTTTGTCTGCGTCAGTGCATTATTAGTTCTTCCAAATTTTTATAACTTACCTTCTAAATACTGTGCTATTTTTGCGTTTATTAAAATATTTAAAATACTAGAAGTAGTGTTTTTTTTTAAATTGACGATTGTGTACGTGTGCAGGTGGTCAACATTTTTCCGAAAATTTGTGTGATTTTCCGATCTTTCAATTATTTAATTTTATACGGTATATGGTCTATTTTTTTAATGGGAAATTTTGAGAAGTAACAATTTTTAAGAGAGATGAGGTGAACTTACAATTAATTTTAAAAATACATATGTATTTGTATTTTAGATGTTTTAGTAATATGAATTAGTTGAACTTAATAATCATATGTAAGTAATGTGGTAATGTGGTTAAGTAAATGGTTATCGAACTCAAATTTTGGGATGAGAAAATTAAATTGATTGATTAAAGTTTTACACGTGCCAATTTAAAAAAAAAAGTTAACGATATTTGTATTTTGTTTATGCTAATTCTCTTACATGTAGATTTTTGCGGAGAAATATTTCATTTATTTTTTGAAGTAAATGCCAGTAAAAGCAAATATTATTTTTAAATACTAATACAAAGTAATAAAAAGTAATAAACATATATAATTTTGATTTCTAATTTTTTATTTATATTTTTCTTCTATTACACTGCATGCTTAGAAAATTAATAAATGTTTATATTTCATGATTTTAAAATTTGTTGTTAATATAACAAATTAGTTCTGTAATTATTATTATTTAATAAACCAACGTTGTCAAAAAATTTAGAGACTATTATTTTTAAATAGGATCTAATATAAATAATTTGACTTCTAATTTGTTGTTTATATTTTTCTACAACTTAAAAAAATGTTTATATTAAATGATTTTAAATTTTGGTGTTAATAGGTATAACAAATTATTACTGTTATTATTATTTATTAAACCAGTTTTGCTTAAAAACGTTAAAAATCATTTTCCTACATCCAAAATAAAAAGTATTATTGCAGTGTAACAACAGAATATTAATAAAAAAAATGCAAAATATATAATCATACCACTGGTCATACTATCCCTAATTAACTATAATACCAAAGAATAATATTCTTTGGTATAATCTAATACCAAATACTTTTCTAATACCAACTAATACGAATATACGGCAACAGCAGCGCCGTTCATAATGTATTTTCTGTGTAAATACTAGCACCTCAATAAAAAAAATAATGTGTCCTTATCTTTATCTGACTCAAAATCAAAGATGCCGGCTTTTTTCATACCATTGCCACCGACCGCCGACCGCAGTCGGGTTTCTAGGAAAGAAACCTACGTCGCCGGGCGACAACTAAACTCCAGTTTATATTTTATTATAATCGATCCTGACGAATAAATGAATTTTACAAATGAATGAATTTTATAAATGAATGGTTTTTGCTGCCGAATTAATATATTTCAAGGCAGATGACGCATCTATTCGATATTTTTATTCGAATAGTTTTCGACGAATGTTTTCTTACTAGCTATCGAATTATTCGAATGAATTGCAACTATCGAATGTTTCGATAGTATTCATTCGATAGTTCCCACTACTATTCTTAACCTAAAAAATGAATTGCACTACCACCTAGTGGCTAGGGCTGGAACTATTTTATTTGAGATTTCAGTGGAAACGGTAGAACCGCTTTTGTTATTTCACTTTCCCGCCCCTGACTACAACTTTTGCGCCTAAGCATAAAAGTACAAAAATATATTATTAAACTGACATTAAGTGTCAAATTGAACAAGTGTACCCATTGTTGCTTGATATACAGGGTGGCGCCTCTCATACGCCGCGGAAGCTCCAAAGAAAACGGTAGTTTATATCGAAATGAAATTTTGGCAGCATATGTAGGTCAACTGAAAGCATTTTATAAAAATATATAGAATTATACAGGGTGTCCCCAAAAAAAGTTGCACATTAAAGTTGTGTTTTTTCTAATGGAACACCCTATATATTAATTGATTTTTGGATTCTAGGAAAAAAATAAAGGTGAGTTTTATTAAAGAAACATATACCTAAAATCTAAGGATTTTGATATATTTCGCATTTTGTGAAAATGAAGACTAAATTTTAAATTTCGATAACAGCTACCTAAATTTTAGTTGACCTTGTATAGCCTGATATTTAATTACAGTAACCATTGTATATGTTAAACCAAATTAAAATTTGACCCGAAAAGTTATACAGGGTGAGACAAAATTAATATGGAACATTAGTCACTTTTAAAAGCAAGTTACTCCTTTATTTTAAATTTTTTAATTAACACCTAGTATATTTTTTCGGTGTTCAATGGGGAATTGATATATCCTTCAAAATATTATTAAGGTTGCCCACCCCTCAGACACAGATTTTCCCAGATATTTTAATTTTTATGATTTTGCGTCAGTAAACCTTTATTATTTGAAAAGATCTAGGTGGCTGTGTGATATACCTTTTGTTAATTTAACAAAAATTAAAGATTGTAAAGTAAAATACTCAAGGGTAATAAAAAGATAGACGTTTAAAACATATTTTAATTATTACAGAATTAAAATTAGATATAAACCTATAATATGCGACAAAAATTAGCTAGATGAAATCAAATGCTCAAAATGCTTCCTTTCCTGTTAACTGCATAAAATGATTGTCTTTTCAAAAGGATCTTTTCATTTTAAGGCATATATGGAGTTCTACCTCGAAAAGCAGCTACAATAATTTCTCTCTTGCTGTCGACACTAGTTGGTCGAATTTTGTAACACTGTCTTTAATATATCCCCATAAAAAAACAGACTAGATAAAATCAGGAGCATTTAAGTATTCTATTAATTGGTGAATGCACACTACATTCACCAACTAATAGAATCATATCAATTCTCTCTGATGTAGGATAAGTTTGCATTTTCGACAAATTTCTTTGTTTTAACTGACACAAAATGATAATAAGTTTTTAAAGTTAGACTAATTAGACAGCTATGTTGAAGTAACATCAGACATATCACAGCCACCTAGATTTTATCAAATAATAAAGATCTACTGACTTAAAATCATAAATATGAAAATATCTAGGCAAATCTTTGTTTGAGGGGTAGGCAACCTTAACAGTATTTTGAAGAAACATGAATTCTCTATTGAATAATATACTGGGTGTTCCATTTAAAATAAGAGAGTAACATCACAGTTTAAAGAATATAAATATATCAGTTGACCCAGCCTGGTCTTGTAGACTTGGGTCAGTCTACATCCGTTGCTCGACGTGTACACAGCGTTTCAAGTTTATTTTAGTTTTGTTTTCGGTCCGACGCATAGGGTGAACCAAAAATAGTGTTTTAGCTGTTTTGTTTGAATTGTGAGTAAAATGTCTACTAGAAATATTTGTGCAGTGGATGGTTGTGAAAGTAGAATGACAGACAATATATCGTTCTTTAGGTGCCCAAAAGATGAAGGAAGGTATGTGTTTATATAGTATAGGATATTAAGTATATAATAATTAAAGTATTAGACATTTAAGTATATTATAATTATGGAAACCTAACTATGAAAAAATGGTTTTAAAAATATACATATAAATTAAGAAAAGATTTTACTCGAAATATGCACAAAATATTTATTTTTAACAATTAGTTTATTATTTTAGTAGATATTTTAAAGTAGTAGTAGATACTTTACTATTATGTTTTGGATTTTTCAGTATTTACCGGTTGGCAAAGTGCATATTAAATTATTTTTTAAGATATTTGCATTTTTTTAAATAGCATGTTTTGCTTTTTAGATGTTTGTATTTAACTTTAACTACCTACCTGGAAAGTCCAAATTTTATCGTCAGGTAATAAAAATACGTGCAAACAACTTGTTCTGCTATTGACAAGTTTTTTTAGAGTTTTTACTAAATTTTATGTAACGGTAAATATAACAATTGACGAGCACATGGGAAAAACGATGAGTATCCAGAAATGATAAATGTTCAGGAAACCGTTTTTTTTTAATTCAAATTACGCATGGACTTTTATATCCGAGTTTATATCGTTTTTCCCTTTTTTAAATGCCTGTTTCTATGTGGCCGTTATCAATATTCCCGTTTATTTAGGTATCAAAAGGTGTAGCCCCCCCCCCTTTGGTACTTTCATTATTTTTCCCGTGTGCTCTTCAATTAGTAGTAAATACTGTAATAAATTATATTTGCATATTTCCTAAGTTATAGCACGTTTTGCTTTTTAGCTGTTTGCATTTAACTTGAATTATCTACCTTTTTATCAAAAGGTAATAAAAAGTACTTGGATACAACTTGTCTTGCCATTATCATTTTTTTTTTCAGTTTTTATTTAATTTTATCGAACAGTAAAATTTATTACTCAATTAACTACTAACAGTCATAATTACTGTTCATGATAATCATAAAATTTAGAAAAAAATCCAAAAAAATTGACAATGGCAACACAAGTTTTATGCAAAGGATACTTTTATTACCTTACGATAAAAGCCCCATTGCTCGGGTAGGTAATTAAAGTAAAATGCAAACATCTATAACATTGTCATCAGCTACATTATTACATATATAATATATATGATATATATTACTATATATATATATATATATATATATATATATATATATATATATATATATATATATATATATATATATATATATTAAAAAAATAACTTATTATATTTATTTAGTCTACATTTTTCATATGGGGTTTCCATAATAATTATTAATAATAATTACCCTATTGACAATTCCATATTACAAAGAATTAGGATAGAATAATATATCTAATATTTTAATATTAATGTATATTTAATACTAAATACTAATAAATATTGATCAATTATTAAAGACGCCTAAAACTGTTATTCAATAAAACTAGTACTGTATTTTTATTTTTCTACTTGCTATATTAAAATTCCTTAGTATTTTTAGTTGATCCCTCGTATACAGCCAGCGTTCTGACTGATAAAATAGCACTTCCGCTGCATTCGGTAAACGTACAAATTTTTTGTCACCTCGAAGGGTCACGGGCCGCCTTTGAAGTCAAAATAACAATAGAGTTCCTTAGAGTGGGCCAACTGATATATTTATATTCTTTAAACTGTGGTAACATGCTTTTAAAGGTGACCAATGTTCAATATTAATTTTGTCTCACTGTGTATAACTTTTTGGATCAAGATTTAATTTGATTTAAAGTACAATAGTTAATTTAACTACATATTAGGCTATACCGGGTGAATTCTAATTTAGGTAGCTTTTATTGTAATTTAAAAATTGTTCTTTATTTCTAGAAAATGTTAAATATGTCAAAAACCTCACATTTTAGTCATATACTTCTCTTATAAAACTCACCTTTATTTTTCTCCCAGAATCCGAAAATCAATTAATATATAGGGTGTTTCATTATAAAAAACACAACTTTGATATGTAACTTTTTTTGGGGACACCCTATAGAATTCTCTATATTTTTAAAAAGTGCTCTGAATTAACCTACATATCTCACAAAGTTTCATTCCAATACAAACTGTCGTTCTCTTTGGAGCTTCCGCGGCGTATGAGAGGCGCCACCCTGTATAATTAGTTATAAGGTATTACTTTTTATATTATTTGCGACGTTTGAATTTGTTTAAAAAATTATTTGTGACGTTTGAAAAAAATAGTTCTATTCAGAGTAAAAATGTTCTTTTTGTGCCAGGCCTGTAAGGTACAGCCTCACCACAAAAAGAATCTAAAAATGTGGCGAGCCTGATAAAAAATCTAATAAAAAATATCCTATTTTTTTACATATTTTATAAAAAAATATACAGGGCGCTTGGTCACTTTTATCTTGCTGCTTATTAGCATTTCCTAAACGGTTCGGGTTACAAAAGAAAAAAGATGCAATTTATACTGTTTAATTCAAATATTTTTGTTGTTGCCAAATTTCTATTAGTTTAGGAAATACAGCGTGTTTATAGTTTAGGAAATACAATTTATAAATAACACCAAAAAATATCTTATTAAATATTTCGAAATTGATTGGTTTTAGAGGCAAAGTTTAAATCTAAAGTTTCATATTTTTTTCCGCTTTCCAACATGGTGTACTTCGATTTTAAATACATTTTGGTTCTGAGAGGCCATCATTAACTTTATTTGTTTTTTTCGTTTTTGTTGTCCTCGGGCTAAAGATGTAAAAAACCAGGTCCGTATTTAAAAAAAAACGATGATAGCATCTGGAAAACAAAACATCATATTTAAAACAGTAGCGTAACTTGACAATTGGGGGCCTCGGTGCAAGATATTTTTGGGGGCCCCTGAGTAAAGAACAAAACCAAAATAATGTATATTTTTTATTAAATATTTTTTTGAAGGGCTCCCCGGGGGCTCAAAATCCCTGTGGGGCACGGTGCTTTGTGCCAAACTGCCCTATGATAGCTACGCCACTGATTTAAAACCTAAGTACACTATGTTGTAGAGCGAAAAAAATGTGACTTTCAAATTTGAAGTGTGTATGTAAAACTAATCGTATTTGTATGTTTAAGAAAATATTTTTCTACGTTTTTTTATAGATCACCATGTATTTCCGAAACTAATAGAAATTTGGCAACAACGAAAATGAAATTAAATTAAAATGGATGCTTATGAACGTTAAAGGGAAACAATCAAATTCACGGCCACCGTGATCGTTACTCTCACGTGTTTTTAGTTTTTATTCCCTATTTTGTGATACTGCTTTGGTTCAAAAAAGAGCAGATTGGAGCAGAAAATTATTATTAGACAATATTACTAATGAATCTATGAGTCAACTGCAATTTTAATTGTTTAATAACCTAATACATCTTAGTAAAGCCAAAACCTCGTATCTCCAAATTTTGTGTTTTTGAGTTACCTTTGTTTACAAATTTTAATAATATGTCCGCGTTAAATGTAACATTTCGTATTAAGATTAGACGTTATTGACTGCTCATGCAAATAACATCTAATCGTCGGGCTATACCGTGCTGGCAATTCTTACTTTTGGGTCGGTATTTACATGTATGGAAGTAAATCCCATAGGGATCTTATTACGTCGGAGTGGGAGAAATGCGACGGTGTGCTGTTGCGGCCTTGTCACATTTCTTCGGTATGACTTTCCCTATCAGGTAAAGTATTACGATCGCAAACCGCTTAGTTTTAACTAGATAAAATCATTAGGTATGTTTCACATCTAAAATGGAATTATAAGGATATCGTTAGGGTATCCATTTTTTCACAACGAGAAAACGTCTGTAATCGCGATAATTTAAAAACTCAACTTTTTAACATAACATAAGATTATACTTTTTAACGTAATATAACTCAAGAACTAATTTAGGTAATGAATCTTTTTTTTTTTACTTTGAAGTTCGGATCTTTTACAAGATGTTTAAATAAGAAAAATTCGATAGACTTGTTTTTTTTTCTTTCAAAAATTAAAACAAACATTCATTTACTTTTAGTGCATTGCAATTTTCAGGAACCGTGTAACTTTTTTATTTATAAAGATTTTCACATATTTCTGCGAAAAAAATGTAGCAGAAATATTAAGAAAGTTTTAAAAAAAACTACAATGAGTAATTATTTCCCATTAATGTTTGTTTTAATTAAATTAATTCAATGGATTTCGAGATATCGAATTTTGAATTCAGAGTTCTAATAGCGCGACCACTGTCGAACACCAACTCAATTCCACTTATTTTTACTTGCACTTAAAAATTTACAAGCTATAAGGAAAATTACAACGACTCGTTAATAAATAAACAAATAAAGTACACGAGACGTAATTAGATCGTAAAGCTGAACGCATGATGTACACTCTGCCCTATTGGGTACTGGGTCAACCGCGACGAATCTGCTATTTCCCTTCCCACGTCTCTTAGCAATGTGCACAGTTTCTTGGTTTATTTTATATGTTTGGCAACGTTTTTACTGTTCTCTCTTTGTTCAGTACATTATAAACGCATTGTACTCTTCTTACATACGGAAATCTCGACCCAAAACTATCCTTGGCCAGCCCTTAGTATAACATCTAATCAAATAACGGGCATTGACTAGTCGTTGAATGAACAAAGTAATCATACTGCTTTCTTTTGTTAAGATCATTCGAATAAACAAAATAATCATCATATTGCTAATGCGGCAAGTATTTGTTTGCAGTAAGCATAGAAAGGAAATGGGACTACCTGAAAAATATCTATACACTAAAGACACCAAATTCGTCAATTACAAGGATTTTGTAAATCTAGAATTGGTTCTTTTTTCAAATGCAGACAACGTGAGATCTATTCCTAGCCTCGTTGATGGTATGAAGCCAGGTCAAAGAAAAGTAACTGGTATAAGCATAGTAAAAATATCAATACATTCACTGTTCATATTTTAGGTACTCTTTACCTGTCTAAAAAGAAATGATAAAAGGGAAGTCAAGGTTGCACAGTTAGCTGGATCTGTTGCAGAACATTCAGCTTATCACCATGGCGAGGTATCTCTTTCTATGACTATCGTTAATTTAGCTCAGAATTTTGTCGGCAGCAATAATATTAATGTGTTAGAACCAAGAGGTCAGTTCGGAACTCGACTAACTGGCGGGAAAGATTGTGCTAGTGCCAGGTAAGATAATTTATATCAGGGTTGGAAAAATTCATGATTTTTTTAAAAAAAAATCAAAAAAATCAGATTTTTGATTTAAATCAGATTTTTTTGATTTTAATTCAAAACAATATTTAAATCGGATTTCCAAACGACTAGGACTTATTTCCAGTTAAAGTCCTATCCTAAATGGCTAAATCTTTATAATTCTGCCCGATACCAATAACATCTACGGCGCGGCGTGTTGTCATTTTTCCATATCGGTCACCAATATATTCCGCAAAAAAAGTCACTCGCTTCAGATCAAAAGGATTTTTTTTTCAAACATCTCAAAAATATTAACTTTTGTCATTTAACATCTAGGCATAAAAGTAAAGCACTGTTACGCCTAAACACAAAAGTACAAAAATATATTATTAAACTGATATTAAGTGTCAAATTCAACGAGTGTATAAATTGTTGCTCGATTACTGTTTATATTATTTGCAATGTTTGAAATTGATTAAAAAATTATTTGTAATGTTTTAAAAGAAATAGTGTGTTCTATTCGGAGTAAAAATGTACTTTTTGTGCCTCCCTGTAACGTTGGAATAGCTTTACGATGGTCCTTCAAAGAGCATCGTCAAAAAAAGTATAATTTTTACTCCTAATAAAACAATACACTATTATTGTTCGGAAATAGTCTTAAGACGAGAATGAAATTAGTATTTATTATCTTATAATAAAAAAAGTGTAAAATACTTACTGCAGAACAAAATGGTCATGTCGGTAGGAATGTGGAAACATACAACCTTTCCAAAAAAATATAAAACACATTTTCTGACAAAACCATTAGATTATCGGGAATGAAGATATAATCTCTACATCAGAAGAACCTAGTTCTGCACTAGACTTTGCGAATGATGTGTATTCGAACAGCGAATTTTTGTCACTTATACATAAATTTTAAAATAAATCCCTGTGTTTAGCAGTCTAATGGATCCACACGAAATTACTTCAAAAATCGGTCCAACATTTAAATTGATGTAGTATAGATATTTTTATATAGTTTTATAACATTTACAATTATTTTTCGATTTATTATCTGTTATATCTGCTATAGAAATATTTTTTCTAGTTTTCTAGGACACATTTTTATAACTTTTACAGTTATTTTTTGATTTATTAAGTTTCAATAAAATTATTATTTTTTATTTAAATCACATGATTAAAATTAAAAAAATCACTTGATTTAAATCACGATTTAAATCATGATTTAAATCACTTGATTTAAATCATGCCAACCCTGATTTATATACAGGGTGGTCCGAACTGTATTCCGGAAACTTCGGCAGCATATTCTGCAGATAAAAATAAGTAAAAAAATCGTATTAATGTATGTCCTAAACTGCTTAGTTTCGGAGATACAGGGTGTAGAAGTTTCATTTTTATTGCAATTTTTTCAAAATAATTTCTGAAGTAACGTCAATATTTGGATGAAAATTGGTGTCTGTAAGTTTTTTGACCTGAGAAATTTGATTTTGATGTCAGTATGAGTTCTACTTCTAGGGGGCGCCACCTACATATTATTTTTTTTAACTGATTTGAAGAGTAATAACTTTTCGTCCGTACCTGTATAAAACCACTGAGTAAAAAAATATCGTAAATAAGGTGTCTTGGTAAAAATGTCTTGAGTAAAAAAACGTCGCAAATGTACGACGTGTTTTTTACGTAAAAAAGGTGTGTTGGTAAAAATCGCTACGAGTAAAAGATCGCGCACACTATACCTACACGGACCGGCACGGACCAGACCAGTAAAATCTACCGGTGAAGGTGACCGTGTTATTTAATAGAGTAGAGCACACTAGACCAGTACCAGCACGTACCGCCACAAGTCACGACCGTCAAAACAGTCGTGTCGGTCAGGGACAAATATGACCGGCAATATTTATGCCTGGTCGTGCTGGTCCGACCTAATGTGCGCACCGGCGAACCAGCACACCTCCACAAACATGCAAATATTGAAGGGTTTGTCAGTATTTCGAGTACGCTAGCTGGCTCAAGTTGCATGATGTAGGTTAGATTTCGTTTATTTTTGTTCGAACCTTTAAATCGTTTTAAATATGAATGAAAAAAAGCTTATTTTACTGGTACAAAAGTATTCAGAGCTGTGCGATACGAGCCAAGCATTTTATATATAGAGACCAAGAAAGAAAAGATGCAATATGGGAGTCGATAGCAAAAAAAAATAATTAAATTTGATTTGTGACATTCGAAAATATTGGAAAAACTTTTCTTCGAATCTTTTTAATTCAGGAAACAAATAATGAAATTCGCCATATTGCTTTCTCTTTTGATTTATAGGGTGAACCCAAAATCTTCTTTTTTTCTTAGCTTCCTTCTCTTCCTCCTCTTCTTCACACAACATGGCTAAAATAATAATTTCTTCGTCTGAACTACTCATTTTCAATACTTCTATGTTGCACGCTCTAGTAGTTGAGCCTTGACAACTGCTACTGAGTAAAAAAATATCGTAAATAAGGTGTCTTGGTAAAAATGTCTTGAGTAAAAAAACGTCGCAAATGTACGACGTGTTTTTTATGTAAAAAAGGTGTGTTGGTAAAAATCGCTACGAGTAATGGTTTTCCAGATATTTAGAATCTAAATTATCAATACCTGGTCATCATTTACATAAATTAAACATATTGACTAAATAGTTATTAGACTGAAATCATAAATTTGAAATGTTTTTGTGCCAAAAGTTCAACAGAAACTGTTTTATCATCATTTTTTGAAGAAAAATTTGTGATTAATTTAAAAAAAATATAAGGTTCCCAAATTTATAATTCAAGTCAAATAACTATCTACTCGACATGTTTATTTTTTTGTCAATAATGACATGTATTAACTATTTTCAATCTAAATATCTTAAGAGGCATTTTTTCTTAAATAAATATCTTAAGAGGCACTCAGTAATTTTATACGGGTACGGACGAAAAGTTATTACGCTTCAAAACAGTTAAAACACATGTAGGTGGCGCCGCCTACAAATAAGGGTCATATTGACATCAAAATTAAATGTCTCATATCAAAAAAATCCCAGACGCCAATTTTCATCCAAGAATTGATGTTATTTCAGGAATTATTTGGCAAAAATCGAAATAAAAATGAAACTTCTACACCCTGTGTGTCCGAAACTAAGCATTTTAGGACATACATTTATACGATTTTTTTACTTATTTTTATCTGCAGACTATGCTGTCGAAGTTTCCGGAATACAGTTCGGACCACCCGGCATCCTGTATTTTCATATATTCAAGGAAACCTTTAATCTATTTAAAATGTTTGCAATCTTTTATCTCTATTATTATAGGTACATATTTACAAAACTTTCACCATTAACACGAATGATTTTTCATCCCAATGACGATGCGTTACTAAAACATGAATATGATGACAATCTTAAGATAGAGCCTGTTTGGTACATTCCCATAATACCTATGATCTTAGTGAATGGGGCCGATGGTATAGGAACTGGTTGGATGACTAGAATTTTAAATTATAATCCTAGAGATATTGCAAAATGTATTAGAAATATGTTAGAAGATGAAGAACCTAAAGAACTTGTTCCATGGTAATATAATAATGATATTATATCTCTCCAAAAAATCCTATATGGGTATTTCGCCACTGCAAGGAAATCTACAAAATAAAATAGTTATTTTTTGTAAACACTGCTGCGTTAATCCAAACGGAAACTACTTGTCAGCAGTTAGGTTTACAGATATACAAATTTGCCTAACGAACAAAAAAATGCTTAATGTTTCGGAAAGTTTATCTTTCCGTCGTCGGAAGCAAAAAAAAATTACAAAGAATAAAGAAAAAAACTATTTAAATTCAACTATTCGAGAACAATTTAGTTTTTTAAAACAGATACGTCTACAAAAACCGTTGACGTTCTGATATATGTTGTAGATTTTCTTGCAGTGGCGAAATACCCATATAAGATTTTTTGGAGAGATGAATCCGCCACATAGGTATAGACATTTTTTAATAATATTATAGTTGAGTTTCAGTTTACATTTAAATTAATTTTAGGTACAAAAATTTTAAAGGGACTGTTGAGTATTGTGGAGATGGAAGGTATTGTATTAGTGGAGAAATAATTATAACTGGACCGAATACAATTGAAATAACAGAATTGCCTGTTGGAACATGGACTCAGAATTATAAAGAGAATACATTAGAACTTATGTTGAATGGTGGGTTTTAAATAAATTATAACAAATTTTAAATTAACATATTTTTTTTAATGTCAAAATACATAGGGTCTGAGAAAGTCAAACCAATATTAAAAGATTATAAAGAATATAATACAGACACTACAGTTAAGTTTGTTGTAACATTGCTAAATGATGTGGCAAGTTTGGAAAAGGAAGGGTTACACAAAGTCTTTAAATTACAGAGTTTATTTAGTACAGGTTCGATGTGTTGTTTTGATGAACTTGCCTGTTTGAGGAGGTAAGAATGCTATAAGTGTTAAGGTTTTTAAATGCATTGTAGGGATGGTTTGCCAAACGTAAATAATTCATTAATTAATTTGTTTTCTAGGTTTGACACAGTAATGGATATACTAAAAGATTTTTATACTTTGAGACTGAAATTTTATCAAAAAAGAAAAGATTTTCTTGAAGGAATGTTAGATGCTGAGGCGAAAAAGCTAAGTAACCAGGCTAGATTTATTATGGAAAAATGCGATGGTATATTGTTGTTGAATATCTGATTATTTTGTAATCTAAAACATTTGATATAAATTTAGGTTCCTTGGTAGTTGAAAATAAAAAGAGAAAAGTTATTGTCGACGAGTTAATACGTCGAGGTTACGAACCCGATCCTGTGAAGGACTGGAAACAGAGAAATGACGACGAGGATGCTGAAGAGCCAGCAGATGGAGATGAAGAAGAGTCCCAAGAAGAAACTTCAACTACCAAAAAGAAAAAAGAACCAGCTGATACAGGTATACTAATTAATAAATTTAATTATTAGTCATTTTTGTACATTCTTGGTACTAATCTATATTCAATATTAATATAAATTAGTTTTCTCAATAAAAGCAAACATAAGTTTCTAGAAATAGGTGCCTGAAGGATTCAAATAAGCTTAATTCCATATCACAGAAATAAATGGAAATGGCGTCTAGTTTCTAAAAGAATGCTTTACTTTATTATCCTAGATGTTTGAATAGAAAATATAATGTCAAAAACAATTAATTAAACAAGACGTTAATAATATAAATTCCTATGTTTTTAAATGGACAATTATTTGTTTGTCGATCTACATAATATTTCTCAGTCTAGAGAACGATATTGACTACGACTACATGACTCATCCTGTATATTACGAAATAGTTTTCGGTTTGGCTCCCAATTTCATTTCATACGGAGTGTGTCTCCTACCATGTTCTTTATGGGTATCTCGGAAACTACTGCTTTCTATGCAATCTGCAACTATGGTTTCCATTTTAAAAAAACATATGTTTGTGCCATAATATGTCAAAAATGACAGGTTTTAGAAAAAATCGGAGATCACAAACTCATTAGGGATGTGATTATTTACTTTTATTTGAAAACTTTTTGTCTAAAATAGATTATAATGGAATTGAGACAATTTCTAAAATAGCCAAAATTTGTTTTTTTTTCGAAATATCTAGTAAGATGACCTTTTTCAAAAATCTGAATGGCGCATATTTATTTATGACCACACAAAACTGCAATTCTTTTCTCATTTAACCGACTCTCTATCTCCAGTAGTTTCCGAGATACCCATAGAGACCATCGTAGGAATCTCACCCTGTATATCTTTCATAAAAGATATACACGTTGTCGTTAATTTGATTTGAATAGTAAAGATATAAAAAATTGTTATTATGTAGATATAAATAGCCATCATGTAAAAATGACTCATCTGTATTATTGAAATGCTTTATTGAATTCTTTTATGGAATAAACTTATAAAATCTCTAATGGTGCAAGTACACACTCGGCGAGGCGACCCGAGGCGCCACAAAAAATTAACGATTTGTGCATTGTTATTGGTTAGGACCGTCCTTTTTTGTCACGTCTCGGGTCGCCTCGGCGAGTGTGTACTTCCAGCATAAGACTAATGGCTGACGTAATGAAAAACCAATGCGCGTAAAGTAGCATCCGAGAGCGACGATCGGTTGGTTATCTCGCGTGTAACATCCAGAATTACGAACCTCTACCTATATGCGTGCGGGAATATATCGTTTGTTGCATCGTCGACCTGAACATAGGTTATTCCATGTAAATTTTAAAAATGATGGATAGCCAACAGTGTTAGGTTTACAAGGGTCCGAGTTATAGGGGAATAAAATTACTTTAATTGAGATTCAGTCAGGTATTATTAATTTAAATAAGTCAATAAACTATGGTTTTGGTGGTCATGTTGAATCGTGAGTCGTAGTATAGTTTTTGTTCTTATGAAGTAATTAAAATTATAGTACTATTTTATTATTATTAATTTTCAGAAGCTAACTTTAAAAACCTAACAGAAGTAAAAAAATTTGATTATTTATTGGGGATGTCGATGTGGATGTTAACAGAGGAAAAGAAAAATGAGCTACTGAAACAAAGGGACAAAAAATTACATGAATTGGAGGTTTTAAGAAAAAAAAGTAATAAAGATTTATGGCGAGAGGACTTGGATGCATTTTTAGAAAAATTAGAAGAAGTTGAAGAAAAAGAGCGGAAAGATGAATTAGAAGTTAAAACTGTAAAGCAACCTGTAAGTACATATTAATATTTTAATTTATTTGATTCCGTCTCAAATAAGATACATAAAGTTATAAAATATATTTAATACTGTTTGATATTTCAATCATTGTTTAACGCTGCTTAGGGAAATCTTAAACAAGAGAAAGGACGGGTAAGATTTTTAGTTGTTAATAATTAGTTACATGTTTAACAAAACAACATTTATAAATGTTCTTTTGTCCACGACCACTTAATAATAAATCAATATTCTACTTCCTAGCTGAAGGAATATGGTGCCCATATTTGTAATAGAGTGAAATGTAACAGCTGATAACAGTGAATTATGATAATTCACACTTTGCATTTACTTTACATTTGTTGCTATGCCAACGTGACACTCACAACATTCCGATGCGCGGTGTGGATGATTTGACGTTTTTCTTATCTTCAGGTTCTGGTCCAGTTAGTGGGAGTGTTCGCTCCTTTCCTAGCTAGATCATTTGCTTTTTCATTGCCTTCTATCCCTTGGTGAGCAGGCACCCAGAGTAGGAGGACGTTATTTTCTTTTCTTTGCCTAATTTGTTGAGCTTCTCTAGTCATTCTTTGACCAACTTCGAATTGATGGTTACTGAGTTGATCGCTTTAAGTGCTGCTTGACTATCGGATAGGATCAAGAACGGTAAACTAATAGGATTGCTCATCCTCATAAGACGTACGTTCGCGTATTCCCGCGCTTCAGCTGACAGTTGTGACGTCATTGTATTCCTTGTCATGATAGTGTGTATTATTAGTTGCCTATGGTAAACTTATAAAAATAAGAGCTGAGAAATTTTGAGTTAATTATTTTGTCAATTTTAAATGTGAAAAAGGTGTTTTTAAAGTTTTTAGAGCTATAGAGTGTATAAATACGTTCATTTTGTGTTGTGGATTGTGACAAAGTGCTTACTAAGTGCCTACGATATTGTTTATTAATTATTTTAAAGCAAAATATGGAAGTACTCTAAAAAGAATGCCTGCAAAAGGTGATGCTGGGAACTGCTGTTCTTAAAGATGCATTATCCGAGTATTTAATACGATTTATACAGTTAATTTTCTATACTGCATACACATAAGGTGTTTAAATAAATAAACTAAATAATGAACGTTTTGCATCCGGCAACCAATAATGCACGTGTGTGTATTATTGGTTGCCGGATAAGGACTAATAACCATGACAAGGACTACAATGACGTCACAAAGCGGGGAGTTTTCGCAATTTCGCATGCACCTGGCTGACACTTTTGGCTGAATGAGCAGCAGAGTTGTTAAACTACACGTAGTAATTAATAAACTACATTTACTACATGTCACAAGTAGTTTTTTAAATGTCGAGTAGTAAATGTGTAGTTTATGTAACTAATGTAGTTTTTTTAAATAACAGTAAAAACAGAACCTAAAAACTTTGTTTGTTGATCAATTTAAAGAAATAAAAAATCTATATTTTGTGAATTTGTTCCTTATTATGTGATATTTTTGATACTTAGTAGTTAGAAATGCTTGGAAGACGTCGATGTCTCCATACCTTCTGGGAAGATGGGAATTATGAAGTTGTGTGTTTAGATGTAAAAAATCATATATTCTCCTGGAGAATGTCTATGGAGTATATTACTTTGTATTTCTTAGAAAATACACTTTTGTTGAAAAAAAATTGTCTTTTTTTCTGATGTTGTTTATCTTATACAAATATAATATAACTTCATATTTCCATGATAGGAATTTGGCTTAATTTTTGTTTAAAGTCTAAATTGTTTATTTTTTACTATATTTTTGTAGGTAGTTTTCAACGTAGTTTTTGTGTAGTTTTTGAAGGTAGTTTTTAAAATTTTAAAACAAAGTTAATACAAAAAACTACGCGTAGTTTTTGGCGTAGTTTTTTGCTTCATAAACTACTTAACAACCCTGATGGGCAGTCCTATTAGGTTAACTGTTCTTGAGATAGGAATGCAATTTCCTGTTTTCGATAGTTCCTATCTAAGATAAATTGTACGCATCTTTCCATAGCGTAAATTTCTGCCTCAAGGATACTGGGGTATGATCTATCATTTTTTAACAAATTTATTTTACTTAAGGTGGTAGAAAAAAGTACTAATATACAGGTATGTCGTAAAACACATCTAATAATAAGCTTCCCAAATATTCGAAAATAGAATAGTTCGAGATAACTGCGACTCTCGATGCATAGCAACTGATGATATTGACGTTTTTATTATCTTTTAGTTAATTCTGACGTTTGAAATTGCCAAATTTTAAGTAGGTAGTGTAAACCCTAAAACATGAATACAATAACTAATAGTAAGATTAACATTAAAAATACAAATTCAAACACTCATCATAATTATTATAACGGCCGTGGACAAAGTATAGTATTCAGCTCGCAATTTATAGCCATTATTCACGCACGGTGACGTTTAGCATAGCATAAATTGCTCGTTCAATAATATACTATTGCAAAAACTAATTAAGTCACAAATACAGAAATTAGCAGATGTAGTGGAATTTAAAAAATACTTTTAGAATTAAAATATGCTTTTGTTACGATTTTTACAGTAGAAATGGAATGATAAATGATATATAATGATATTTTATCAAATCAATTTATTTTATGAATGAAAAATATTGACTTAGTGAGTTTTCTACTGAAAACCAATAGCAATAGGATTATAAATTTCTAGGGAAAGAAAAAGGCTAAGATTCAGGAAACTTTGCCAACAACTACAGGAACAAGAGTAATTCCAATAATTTCTGAAGATTTAAAGAAGAAAATTCAAACAGCTGTTAAACTGAAAGAAAATAAAATTAAGAAAGAAATTAAGAAAGAGGTTACTGAAGGTGTAAGTAAATGCTTAAAATTTAATGCTAACGGGACCAAAGTCAGCTTGAAAAATGCTCAAAGATGTTTTAAAAATTTGAAAAAAAACGATTTGACATTTATGTATTCTTCTCTAAGATTCTTCTGTTTTTTTATGATCAGTTTATAATTAATTAAATATAGCATATACAGGGTCCGGTAATAGTGCGTCGGGCATCTGTGGCTCCTATAATAAAAAAGTTAGAAATTTTGTTTAAGTGCAGACCTAAAGTATGTATTAGAATGTATTTAAGAATATTATTTTAACTTCTACAGGGTGGCTCAAAAAAGAGTGAATGGATTGGGACGATTTTTTTTTAAATGGAACACCCTGTATATTATTGCATTTTTGATTTCCTTTTTGATCACTTTACATAATTCTACGATATTGTTAAATATGGTTTGATAGTTTAATAAATAAATAAAAAATATATATTTTTCAGCCTTTCTTAAAAAAGTTATACAAATATAAGAACTGTCCTGAAATTAAAACTATATCAGGTATTTACTCTAGATGGTCTATACTTACTTTGCTATAAATATCGTAATCTTAAATCATACAGGGTGTTCAAAATTCTACGCCAAACTTTCTGAAATATATAAATTTTTTTTAATTGAATTTTTTAATAGATATGGAGAATTAAAAAATGAACAATTCTTGTATTTATAGTATTTCAACATTTTTAACGGTTTCGCAGATACTCGCGTTATTATTTCATATCGTCCCATTGCTGTCAAAAGTCACTAACTTAGTTTTTATTACTTCCGAGAAAATCGCGTCTAAAGATGAATTGCATTGCATAAAGTTGTTGTTAGTAACTATTCGGTATTAAAATACAGCATAAATAGCCAGAAATCGTATTTAATGACTTTTTCAATTGATTCTCCGCTTCAAAATATAGTTAGTGATTGAATTTTCAGGTTATTCGGAAAAATGTTAGTTAGTGACTTTTAGCAGCAATAGGACGATATGGCCTTTTCAACGGTAAAATACCAGAGAAAAATCATTAGGTGGCTTTGATAAAAATTTACTGTAGAAAATGCCATTTGAAATATAAAACCGCGAATATCTTAAACCGAAACCGTTAAAAACTTTGAAATACTCTAAATACAAAAAATGTTGATTTTAACTGCTGATGATGCTAACATGGTTAACGAAACGCGCGTCCAGTGTAAAAGTAAAAGTGTTTTGGTGTATTGTGGTGATTTAGTGTTTTTATTTTACAAAAAGAATGAAAAAAAATTACAAACGAACATTTAACAAATTAATATAATCTATTGATTCTGAAGTTGCCAGTAGGAAATCTTCTCGTCTGCCGTTATAAGCCGTTTCAGGGCATTCCTCCACGATATGTTTGATGGTCTCATTTTTGCTGCACTCGCAGGAGGGGCTTGGACTTTTGCCCCATTTGTGTAAAGTACCGTATGATCGAAAAAAACAGCGTCCAGTTGGCTTGGAAATGACGATCGATGACATTTCCCATATAATTTTACATATAAAATGAAAGCGATCTGCATTTCATAGCCATCGTTGACGCCGTTTTTATTCGATCAGACGGTATAAGCGCATCTGCCATGCTGCGCTCTAATTCTATTTAGCGCGCACCAGGTTTTCCTTGGTAAGTCAAAACCTGGTGGTGGGTTGGTGATGCATAGCATGTTACTGTTTTATTTCGACGTCCATTCCTGATACCAAGCGTCGGTGATGCTCCATTCGTCCTCAATTACATTTAATGCGGTTTTGGTGGGCGGTTTTCTTGATCGGAGGCGGTTGTGGTTAGCATCCTCGATGTCTGTATGGATCGGTAATTCTCTGTTGTCCAGTATCTTGTTAAACTTTGTACAGAGCGTTTATGCGGCGCAGACTTGGGGGTGGCATGTGACTCAGTACTGGAAGCCATTCTGTGGGTGTGGATTTAATAACACCAGCAATCATTCTCATTGTATTATTGAGCTGTGCGTCTATTTTGTGGACATGTGGACTATTGAGCCATACCCGAGCACAGTATTCGGCGGCTGAGTAGACGAGACCCAGAGCTGATGAGCGCAGAGTAGAAGATGAAGCACCCCAAGATGTCCCGCACAATTTTTGTATTATATTGTTTCTTGTTTTCAACTCCTCTGCTGTTTTTGATAAGTGCTCTTTAAACGAAAGTGTTCTATCGAGTGTAACACCTAGGTACTTTGGGTTTTTATTATGTTTGAGAGTAGTGTTTTCAAACTGGACATTGAGTTCCCTATTTGCGAGATTGTTATTCAGGTGAAAGCAGGATACTTCTGTTTTGCTAGCGTTTGGTTGGAGTCTCCACTTCCTGAAATATTTCCCTAACTTCTCGAGATCAGCCGTTAAAATTTCCTCTGCATCTTCGAATGAACCGCATCTTATAGTAAGTCCCCAATCGTCGGCATATCCATGTTTCCTTGACCTAGTTCCGGGCATATCTGAGATGTACAAGCTGAACAAAAGCGGCGCGAGCACCGCTCCTTGAGGTAGACCGTTCTTAAGTTTCTTTGGAGAGCTTGTGTCAGATCCCATTACGACTTGAAATATTCTGTCGCTCAGCATGTCGTCAAGCAGTCGTGCTGTTACTTTGCACGGAATCATTCGCAGAAACTTATATATCATGCCTTCTCGCCACACCCTGGTTTCAAAATAGCTATGATTTTGGACCTTTTAAATTCTTTGGGTAGATTTCCAGTTTGTAGTATGTCGGTGAAAAATTCAGCGAGCCATTTGATTGCAAATTTTTCGCAATGTATTAGAAATTCAGGGCTGATGTTATCAAATCCGGGAGCCTTTCCGGGGTTAAGATCTTGAATTGCTGTAGAGATTTCATCTGCCGTAAAAGGCCGAGAGTATTCCGTTTCTTGCACTGAGGTTTTTAGATGTTTAAGTTCTCGTTTAACTTTTATTGTGTGACCTTTGTCCTTTGGTGCTCTGGACGTTGCTATTATATGAGATGCTACTGTGTTGAGATAGTTTGTACCATACTGTGGCGAGATAGTTTCTTTTGATCTTTGTATACGTGATCCACTCCCTAGTTTTCTAAGAAGTGTCCATGTGGCTCTGGTTGAGGTCTGGAAATTCAAGCTTTCTACGGTTTTTGCCTACTTTTGTTGTCTTGCTGCATCAAGGCTGAGGTTCATCTGCTATTTCTGGATCACCGGTCTCGAGGTAGTTTTGATAAAGCTCGTCGCTATTCTGTGACCAACCAGGGATGTATTCCTTACGAAAACCTCTTGGGATACACTTTTTAGCGGTGCCTATGATTGCTCCCACGAATCTGGTGTAGTTTTTACTCTGTGGTGGGATCCAGCCTAGGCATTTATCTAGATCTTTGGAAAACATGTCCCAGTTAGCTTTTCCAAAGTTCCACCTTGGTCGAGGTGTGGCCGTGATTATTGGGATTTGGGTGCCCGTTTCGATTATGACTGGGCGGTGCTGGGTGTGTGGGAAGTCACAGAACCTGTCGGTGGACCGGTAGGGGTGCATTGTTATTGCTACTAATTGACGCGAAGCACAGGTCAGGATTGTATTCTCGTCTCCACGTTGCAGACTTGAATGTGAAGCGATCTTTTGCATCAAAGACGAGATTAAGGTTTCACAAACTAACGCCTCTCCGTTAGCGTCACAGTTTCTGTATTTCCACTGTTCGTGGTGGCTGTTGAAATCACCCACGTATAGTGCTGGGTGGGGTTGAGTTTTTTTTATTCTAGGAGCTACGTAACAGTTTAGCAGTCGTACGATAAGGTTGTGTTAACCGTTCGTGCGTTTTGTCTGCCGGTTATTGAACGTTTGTTTTGTTTTGATTTGACTTGTTTTTGATGTGTTTTTGTTCCTGACCCGAAATCAACTCAAAGTTTACTGTTCGTTTAAACTTGACTTTGTTTACTTGTGTTAGTTTTTTGCAACCTTAATTGATAATTTTTCGGCGTAATTGTTTCCGCTGTGCGTGAGTTTTAGCTTGTTTATACTTCCGAATTTTATTCAGCTGTCATCGACTTTTATTAATATTATTAATCATTTACATTGTTATGGCTGAATTTAAGTGCGATTCTTGTCAAAAAATCCAAAAGGACAGTTATAAGGTTCGCTGTAGTGGAGAGTGTCGAATAAGTTTTTGTATGACCTGTACAGGACTGGATAAGGCAACAACAAAGGTGCTATGTCAACAAAAGTACCACAATGTTAGATTTTTCTGCACTGTCTGCGATTCCCCTACATTAAAATATGTTCATGATAGAATTACACAGCTTCAAGAATGCCAGGTCCAACCAGAAATCATCGAAGCACTAGGATTCTGTTTAAAAAAAAATATGGACATTTTTCCAGTCATAACTGAAATGTATGACATGCTGAGTGACCACGATTCCAAGTGGAACATTTTACTCAAGAAAATTGATGACATATCCACGATATCAAATACCACACAAGAATCTTTATTTAAGTCAATAAATGAGATAAAGCAAGACACCTTCAATTTATCGTCAATTTTAATGGGTCTGTTAAAGTCCAAGTTCATGACCCATCTAAGGAAGAAATGGCGAAGGAAATGGCTAATAATATGCAGCGGAAAAAATCCATTTCAACGCAGACGGGCCCTATAGATCACCAAAATAGTACAGCTTTTATAGATTCGCCAAAAAAAATAGTTTCACCCGAAATAGTGTCATCGCAACCAGTGGTGGTGGTGTCCAGAATTCCACCTCCTTATACAGCGAATCAACTTGCGCACTATGTTAAAGAAAAACTAGGAACCACCGATTTCATCAGATACTTTCCAATGCTGAAAAATAAGGACAGTTCCCATTCCGATTTCAAAATTGGAGTGCAAAAGAGGTGTCACTTAGTGCCGCTTAAGGACATAAATATGTGGCCGCCGGGAACCATATTAGATTCAACCTCAACATCCTTAAACCAAGCTTCGTTAACTTCTTCGGCTGAACCTGCTCCAAATCTCAAAATAAACATCATTGAGAACCGCAAGCTACCTCACCTACTTGACCCACCACTGGCAACTATTCCAAGGGATGTAAGAACTATTAAGATTGGTTCTGACAGGGAAGCTATAGCTGCTTGCAAGTCCCTGGCGATGGAAAATCCAGAAATTATTGTGCAGGTAAGTACGAAGAGAGATGGTTTGGTAGTTATGGGCCCGATGACTCCACCTATAGTACGGCTGTCTCAGGACTCAGATGCGGTAAATGGACGCTACGTGTTCGCCAGGTTGAGGGACCCCTCCATTTTGAAATCTCTTAGGCTATTCCTTGCCTATCTTCACGACCAACCATCCAGTGTGTGTTTTGAAGGACACGCTAGTACCAGCATCAAATTGATGCTTGCATCAGAAGGGCTACCTAGTGACCTGGACTCCTTGCGTAAGTTGTACTACCGCTTCCACAACGCCTATGGTATTGGTTCAACTGAAGTTGATGCAGATCTTTCAGCTTTCAGGTCATTCTTTTCTGCGGAGAGCCTTCTACGACTTCAAAAGATTAGGGAAAGTCATGGCAAATATTATTCCAGTACCTCCCCAAATAAGAGTAAACATTTTTAATTGAATTGACGCGAACAGAGGATCAAGCACCCTCTGAAAAATTAAGCGATAGCAAGCTTGGTCTATTCCTTATTAATATTCAGTCCTTAAGACATAAAATAGATGAATTATATCTTTTACTAGAAGAACTTGAATTTCCAGATATCATTGCCATAACTGAGCACTGGTTAAATTTTGATGAGCCTGTGTCTGTTAAAAATTATACCACAGTGGCCAGATTTAATAGAACAAATTTTTCTCATGGAGGTACTATGATAATGTCTTTAACAACGACTTTTCCGAGGTAACTAGGTACAATGATTTGTTATCTGAAAAAGTATTCGAATTTTCCATTGTCCACCATAATGCTTATGACCTTTACATTATTTGTATTTATAGAACACCTGACTCTGACGTGCAATTATTCTGTCATAATCTACTAAGTTTGCTTGAGTCCCTGCCCTTAAAGAGCAAATTAATTTTGTGTGGTGATCTTAATATTGACTTTTTTAGTGTATGTGCTGCTCAGGAGTTTCTTCAGTCCATTTTTGATTCTTTTGGAATAGCCATGCATGTAGGCTCACCTACCAGAATATCCAATACCAGTTCTAGTACTATAGACTATGTTGTGTCATCTTTTGATCCTAACTCCATCGCCTGCAACGTCTTTAGCTCGGGTCTCTCTGATCATGAAGCAGTTTTAACTGAATTTTCGATGAAGTCCAAAATCAAAAATGCCCCTCGTAAATTATGCCGTATTTTTTCAGAAAAGAATGCTCAAAAGTTCAGCCACTTATGTAAAACAACCAACTGGGATACTAGCTCTTATGATGTCGACACCGAATTTTCTATTTTCGTATAAACATTAACCAGTCTAGCGTTCAAATCCTTTCCTCTTAGACCTATAAAAAATAAGCATAATAAACCTTGGACCACTAAAGGTCTACGCATCTTCTAAAAACACGCGTTCATTATCTCACTTAAAAAAAATTCTGACAGTCTCTTCTTTCACAATTACGTAAAACTATACAGAAAAATTTATCATACTATAAGAGCCGCTAAGGACCTTTATTATAATAGAAGAATAGTCAATTCTGGTAATGTTGCTAAAGAAACATGGCCTATTGTGAATGAATTGAGAAACAAAGCTTCTTCGTCTATATCTCTACCTCACCTGAGAACCTTAACGATTACTTTGTAAATGTAGCGAAAAACTTAACTAATACCATATGTCCTCCTCATGATCCACTTTCTTACCTCTCTAATGATAATATAAACTTACTCAGTTTCTTTTTTTCGCCCATAGTTTTAGAAGAGCTTCGCAGTACAATTAATACCATCAAAAATAAATCCTCTTCTGGGACCGACGGGCTAACTTTAAAAATGTTTTCGAATCTGCCAGAAAGCACTCTGAATCACCTAACAAATTTAATAAACATGTCGTTCCAAAATGGTATTTTTCCAAAATGTCTTAAGACGGCAATAATCATTCCTCTGCACAAAGGAGGAGACAAAGATGAAGCTTATAACTATCGCCCAATTGCACTCCTTCCAACGCTATCTAAGATCATAGAAAGGTTGGTTAAAAGAAGGCTGGTATCTTTTCTGTTTAAGTACAAAATACTTACTGAATATCAATTTGGATTTCTAAGCAACAAGTCCACAAATGACGCTATGTTTTCCCTCCTTAATAAAGTTTACTCCAGCCTAAACAACCATCACTCTACAGCAACAATTTTCTGTGATTTTTCTAAGGCGTTCGATTGTGTAAATCATAAGATCTTAATTAATAAATTGCAGCACTATGGGTTCAGGAGATCATCTCTCGAATGGTTTAAGTCGTATCTGAGCAACAGAAGTCAACTTGTGAGGGTGGATACCACGTTGCCTTCTAGCAAGCCAATAGAATGTGGAGTACCACAAGGCTCAGTACTAGGCCCTATTTTGTTTCTTCTTTTTATTAACGACATTGCTAACATAAACATCAGTGGCAAAATATGTCTTTTTACGGACGACACTAGCTTCACTTGGAGCAACAAGGACATCACGGCACTTCGTAGGATTATATCAAATGACTTAATCACCATTAAATCTTGGTGCGATTCGAACCTCCTGAGTCTCAACATTTCTAAAACTAAAGCTTTGTCGTATAAAAACTTGTTGCAGCCTTTTGTACTTAACAACACCACCATTGACGTCGTAAAATCTGTAAAATTCTTAGGGCTTGTTGTGGACAATTCTCTGAAATGGACATACATATCGAAGCTTTGTCGAAAAAATTGAGCTCTGCCTGTTTTGCATTAAGGTCTATTTCTAAGGAGCTTAACTTGTCAGTGGCTAGAACTGTTTATTATGCACTTTTTGAGTCGCAACTCAGGTATGCCCTTCCATTCTGGGGTACGTGTTGTTCGACTCAATTTGACCGCATTTTCAAGGTCCAGAAGAGAGCTGTTCGATATTCACTGGGACTAAACAGCAGAACTCATTGCCGGGACTTTTTTAAAGAATTAAAAATATTGACTCTTCCTTCCTTATTTATATTTGAATCCGTTTGCCTAATACGTAAACATGTATCAGCTTCTCAAGAAAGGCCATCTCACACTTATCCACTCAGGAACGCGGAGCAAGATCTTTATCTACCTACCCCACGCTCAGAGTTAGTTAAAAGTTCAATATTATACAACTCGAAAAAAATGCACAATCACCTGCCATTTGAAATAAAATCCATAACATCATTTTTTTCATTTCGCAGAGCATTGAACTCTTATTTACTAGACAAGGCTTTCTACGCCGTATATGAATTATATTTTGAAAATCAAATTTGATCTTGTAAACACTGGTCTAATGTTTGCTATTGCTATATTTACTAATGACATCGAAATGAATTTATTTAGAGGTCATTGATATTTTACTATAAACTAGCTAAATATTTTTGAATATTATTTTTATTTTTTTGTTCTTTGACATTGTAAACATTTATAAATGTTTATTTTAACAATAAGACTGAGGGTGCAACCACACTATCCTAAAAACGGCGTATCGGCGTAACGGCGTAACGACCTTGAATAGATTTCCAGTAATTCTATTGGCTGGAAAATTCATCTGTCAGAAATTTCAGCCAATAGAATTGCTGGAAATCGATTCAAGGTCGTTACGCCGTTACACCGATACGCCGTTTTTAGGATAGTGTGGCTGCACCCTGACAATATTATTTGTATAACGTTTTGTATTATCTTTTGTTTGTTTGTTTGTGTACCTTGTTTTTTACTTGTTTGTTAGTTTAACTTTGTCTACAAATTGAACAATTTTTTGACAATAAAGGGGCATTTATTTATTTATTTATTTACAGATGACTGACGCACTATTGCCGGACCCTGTATAAGCCATAACCAATATCAGAGATTAGAAAATTATATCGTGGGAAAATTTGCGGTGAACGGACAATTCGAAAATTTTTTCTAAAGTACATATACAGAAAAATTTAAAAGAAAATTTTCATCACAATTTTCAGGATTTTTTTTGGGGGGGGAACCTCATAGACACGTTCCTGGAGTCGAAATATACCACCCCTACAATATTTTCACTTATATAAGACTCACCCCGTATAATAACGTAAATTCGTAAATTTTGTTTTAAATAGATATTTTTTATTTTATTTCATATTTTGAACAAAATAAAATTGGCCACTTAAGTTTTTCTAAACTGCTAAAATATTAGTTTTAATACCTGGCCTTGCTACAAATCCTAAATTTATTTTATACCTAAAATGAATAATTTAAAGTTACCTAATTAAAATTTTCTCATGTGCGATATTAAGCCAAATTATGTCACTTTTAGCAATTAGTTAAACCAGTATACTGGATGGTGCAGCAGCGTTGGTATTATTAGTGTGTATGTTGGCATTTGTCTGGTTTTGCATTGTTACCTGTTCAGTTTTAATTTAAAAATAGATGCAGTTTTTCTTAAATTACTTAAAATAGGCTTGTCCCAAATTGTTCAAATTTGGTACATGGAATTTTATTGGTAATGGTTTCCAACAACGATGTACCACCCGGTATATGTATTCAATTAATCTCATTAGCCCTAAACGTTCTATCTATTGTATAATTATTTAGGATGAACCTGACGAATTTGATGAGATGGTAAAAAGTAAAAAGACCTTGAAAGATAAATTGGGATCTTCTGAAGACGCAGAGAAGAAAGCTAGAAAGAAAAAGCCAACAGATGGTCTAAAACAGACTAAATTAAATTTTGAAAGAAAACGTATGCATATAATTTCTTTCTCTTCTAAACAATAATATCATATATTTTAGCTGCTAATGGATCTCCTAAAAAGAAGGGTAGAAAAAAGAAAGACGATATTGATAATGAGACATCTGGTGAAGAAAATGCAAAATCTGATTCTGAATCTATTAGCAGTCCCGTTGTTTCTCCAGTCAGAGAAAGAACAATTCGACGTGCTGCTACAAAGGTAATTCCATGATATATACATAAAATAATGCTATATAAAAAATTTTAGGTTCAAAAGTACAACTTCTCTGATGAGGAAGATGATAATAAAGAACTGTCAGATAATGAGGATTTGCATGAAAATACTTGTTTAGAAGAAAGAGAAAGTGAACCGGTAAGTATCTGTAATTTTTTCGAGGCGATTCTTGTACCTATTCTGTTCTTCACAGTCACTCAGTTTCACTCTTCTATGGCACTCCACTGACTTCTCTTAAAATAAGTATAGCTGGTTCCAATAAAATTGAATACGATTTAAAACATATTTTTATTATTTCGGGCAGTATATTCTATGATATCAGTCCCCCATTTCTCTACTCATGTCATGCTGACATTCTGAAAAATTTATTTGCCACTTTGTCAACAGCAAAGTTGTTTTATACAATGTCACAATAACCTTAACATGTCAAAATACTTGACACATAAATATACACTGCCCAAATATTCGAAAAAAATGTGTAAAGAGTCGTATTCATTTTTTTTGGAACCAGCTGTACAGAGTGGGTCAAATTCGACGCTTTTAAATGGAAACACCCTTTTCTGTAGGAGATAGACGAAAACTAATATCGGTGTCTGGAGCTCAATTTTTATCAAAAACATGATGGTGAAAACCGCATATCGATATCTGTTACCGTTTCGGAGTTACGGGGTGTTTTTCAAAAATATGCATTTTTAATAAATCGCTGTAACTTTTATGCTATGGAATATGTTGTATTTTTATGAAAACATTTCCAAAGCACCTTTTTACGTAGACTTTAATGGTTCAAGTATAATTTTTGTAAAATTAATAATTTAAGAATTATCAACAGAAAATTTGATTTTTTATATGGGACACTCTGTATATTTTTAGTTTATTGAAAAGAATTTAAAATTACCTTTCCAAAAATACAACACACTTGATATTTTGCTCGATTCCTCTTCGAGATATAGAGTATATAAAAATTTGCCCGCTTTAAATAAGTAGGCTTTGAACGACACCGGCTATAATGCAAAAAATTCAAGCTGTGAGCATTAATTAAAAAGAAAATAATATTTGTTATGAGAAATGCAGAATTTTATAACAATTTAAAATATATATTAACCAACATCAACACATTTAAAGTATGTATATCTAAAAACAATAAAAATAAATAGCAAACCAAGATATTGATTGTGTTCGACATATCAACCGTCTTCTGTTATGACAGACGGGGCAGTTTTTGAACATTTCGGAATTTTTGCGGAATTCATTAACTCAGTGGGGGTGAAAGATACCCTCTCATAACTGCTAAGTATTTCTAATTCTTGTCTAGATTATACGGAATAAGGAACCTTTATTCTTCAGCAAATATATCCATAGGATTAGATCCATGGGCACTAAGTCAGGCGGCCTCGACGGCCAACGACTGAGATCTTGATTAGCTATTCAATTATTCTTGAAATTGGCTGCAAAAATTTGCTGATAACTTCAGCGTTCAGAGGCGGTGCGTCGTCATGCTGGAAAAATATGTTTTCGAGTTCCATTAAGGGCATATCAGCAATAAGGGATCCAAAGCCTACTAGTTAAAAGTGGCGAACTTTTAAAAATTCTGTATTTCGAAGGGGATTATAACAAAATATCAAGTGTGCTATATTTTTGGAAAGGTAAGTTTAAATTCTTTACAGTTAATTAAAAATATAGAGGGTGTCCCAAATAAAAAATCAATTTTTCTGTTGATAACTCTTAAATTATTAATTTTAAAAAAATTGTACTCAAACCATTAAATTCTACGTAAAAAGGTGCTTTGGAAATGTTTCCATAGAAATACAAAATTTTCCATAGCAAAAAAGTTATAGCGATTTGTTAAAAATGCACATTTTTGATAAACACCCCGTAACTCTGAAACGGTAACAGATATTGATGTGCGGTTTTCACCATCATGTTTTTGATGAAAATTGAGCTCCAGACACCGATATTAGTTTTCGTCTATCTCCTATAGAAAAGGGTGTTTCCATTTAAAAGCGTCGAATTTGACCCACCCTGTACATATTGTTTTTAAAATCTTCGTTCATTTCTAAACAATTTTCATCTCTAAATTTTTTTTTCGTCCCATGGTGTTACCACAGAACAGATACAAATCAGAAATTTCACTGAACGTCGGTGCTTTTCAAGTGTGTTGTAAGAATTCCGTTCCTCGCGCACAGATTTCATCCTCCTGCGCGCCGCACAGCTGATCATTAGTTGATGGCTTTAAACGAGCCAGGGTCGAACTCAGATACGTGTGAATCGTGACAGGAGCGTATTTCGTTTTTTAACAGTATTTATTTGAAAAAAGTAAGATTTAGTAGTGACAAAATAAATAATGTGTAAAAATAATACGAAAAATCATGCCAATTGATTCAAATGTTTAAAGCGTTATTTTACAAAAAAGTGTTCATTGAGTTGAGTCATTGTTTTGTATCTCGTTTTTCTAGAAATAAACATTAATATTTAATTTTCAAAGAGAATAATCACAAAAATAATTCGGACAAGGTGGGTTTTGTGGCAGTATGATACCGTATGATCGAGAAAGAACGGCGTCAGCGTTGGCTTTGAAATGAAGATCGCTGTCATTTTATATGTAAATTTATATGGGAAAGTCATCGATCGTCGTTTCCCAGCCAACTGGACGCCGTTTTTTTCGATCATACTGTAGACTACCGTATGATCGAATAAAAACGGCCTCAGCGATGGCTATGAAATGAAGATCGCTGTCATTTTATATGGGGAAATGTCATCGATTGTCATTTCATAGCCATCGCTGACGCCGTTTTTTATTCGATCATACTACTAATAAAGGGGCCTAGGAAAAAATGCAGGATTTGCAATAAGTAATAAGGATTTTGCTGCAGTAACCTAATTTGTAGTGAAATTTTTATAGGAATAAGCGACTTTTAACTGCAGTTTGGGACCCTGTTTATGTAAATTTCAGGGTCCCACTATAAGCTTGACGCTGTCATGATTTTATGATTCAGCAATTTTATTTTTTTTTCAATACAAACCTTCATTTGAAAATGTAGACAGAATATAATAAAAACAATTTGACTGAAATAAAATAACATTTTATTTGTTATTATAAATATGTAAAAATTATACATATAATCCTAGCAATGTGATATTAGGTACAAAATCTAATACAATTACTTAAATGTAAATGATCCTAAAATTTATTAAAATAAATTGTTAATGCAAATTGTTTAAATTCGTTGGTATATCGGTATCCATGTGATTTCCTTGAGGAATTTTGTAAGCAAAGTTCAATAAAATTAGCCATTGACGAAGAGAAGTGTTCCTTACAAAAAGCTATAAAGTCTTCATTTGTAACATTTGTTTTGTCAGTCTTCGGATGAAATTCCAACTTTCTTTTCAAACTTCTAATTTGTAACCTTAACCCATGTTTTCTTGGACTATCCACACTAAGGGATGTAGGTGTCTGTTGTGAAAAATCTATACAAACAAGAAATAAAAAATATTATTTATCTATTTGAAATATTGATCTTCTCTAAATATTATAACAAACTACCAAAAAAAACATTTATTGAAAACTGGAATTCTATACCCTATATTAATATGGAAGTACAGATTTATACAGGGTGGCGCACCTCATTCGCCTCAGTTGATTGTATGACAACGGAAAGATGTAGAAACCTACTAGACAGAAACCTGTCGTTGGAAGTGAAGAAAATGAATTTCCCTTAATTGGCTCTTTTATAGAAAATCCAATATATCTACCAGTCATCGTAATATAAATCAAAGAACTACTTTATTTTCTTGATAAAATAATAAATACTTATTAAACTATTGTAGGTAAATTAAATAAAAATAAACTGTTATAAATTTAAATAAAGTCCATAAACTAATGTCGATTTTAAAAAAGCTACTAACTGTCACTAGAAAATTGCCATGATGACACCAGCCTTCTTGATTGCCATTTTATTGAAAAGTCGCTCTTTATTCAAAATCTGAGCCAGATAGGTATAGGAAAGCCTAATATAGTTTGAAAGAGCATTTAAATCTGCTTCAACTTCTTTTAAAAAATACATAGTGTTGTATTTGAAATAACAAAGTTTTTATGTAAAGTAAATACTTAAAATAGACCAGCAATTTTGATACCCCTCTATACATTTAAGGATGCAATACATTTTTTAGTAAAGTTTATTTCTCTGGCTTCAAAGTCAGCACAAGAATTAACTCTTAAAAATTAATGTACAGGATGTTGACAAACTTTGTTATTATAACATGCATATTTAAATGTATTTAAATATCAAAAACCAAACCTTTTAAACATATTAAACCCTTATAATAAATACCTTATTTTATGTCCAAGAATCCCAAAGTGAAATAAAATACCGTGTGTTCCATAAGAAAAAATATAACTTTGGTATGAATCTTAGTCCTGACACACCCTGTACATTTTAAAATAATTTTAAATTAAGTACATTGTCTTTCCACATATACCCATAAACTATTTTGTTTCTATATCTTTACGTTTTCGTATAATCAACCAAGATGAATGAGGTGCGCCACCCTGTATTCAGCCTTGTGTTTATAAAATATTTTACTGACCTTCAGATGTAACTTCCTTGGATGTTGATGGAATAGCGATTACATCTGGTGAAGTAGATTCGAAACAGCTGAAAACATAAAAAATATTTATTGAAAATTGGAATTCTATACCCTATATCGGTATGGCAGTTCAGATTTATATTCAGCATTGTGTTTAAAAGGTAATAGTATTTTACTCACCTTCAGATGTAACTTCCTTGGATGTTGATGGAATAGCAATTACATCTGGTGAAGTAGATTCTGAAACCGCTGAAAACATAAAATAAAATATTTATTGAAAACTGGAATTCTATACCCTATTGCATTGTGTTTAAAAGGTTAAAAAAATAGTATTTTACTCACCTTCAGATGTAATAGGAACAGCAGGAATAGTAGCTTCAACTTCCATCATGGAATTGTCTACAAAAATATATTTATTTAATTTTTTTGAGCATAACACAAACACAATTTTAAGAGGCAAAATTGAAAGCTAAATGTTATTGTCAAAAGTTTTTGTTTTTCAGTAATATAGTATTTGTCATAAAATATTGAAAATATTACACAGAACCACCACGAACAGACTGAAACTGGATTTTCTAAATGCCTATCTATAAACTATTTTGTTTATTTAAATGTTCGTTTGTGCAAGTGTATAAATCGATTGTGCAGATAAACAAGCAACTGATGATTTGAAAAAATTACAAGTAAAATGAAAAACAATGCTTATGAACCCACCTGACATCAATAAAGTTGGAACAGCAAATTTCTTTAGACGGCTTTGAGACATTCCCGCAAACATGGTAGGTTGAAAGTGTTTTCCACAAACTCTATACCCTCGATGCAAATCTATAGGTGATTTTGCTCTAAAATCATGCCTGTTGCAGTTCTTAACCCACTCAGAACATCTAGAATTTATTAAAATATTTTTCGTTATTTAATAGATGATTGTACTACATGAGTCTGTCAAAAACTTTAGAATTTCTAAAAAATCTTACTAGATTGTTTAAAATTCTAGAGGAAACATTCCTTATTGTGTAGATAAAAAATATTTATGTACCTTTTTGGATCCAATGGGAATGAAAAGAAGCTAAGACCCATATCAGTCTCCGTATTGCTTAAACAGCCGGGAACACAGCAGTAACGAAGGCCCATTATAAACAAAATTGTCAAACAAATATAGTCACAAAATATCACAAACACACCACAAAGTAAATTAAAATTATTTTAATTTACTTTTCCGTTAATTTACTTTTCCGCCCGTTCATATGACATTCATATTTTTAGGTTAGAAATGTTGAGCAACGTTGTCAGTTGTCAGATTTTAACAAAGAAATTCCTGAATCTTTAATTACCATTGCAATAATAATTTTTTTATATTTAGCAGTAAAGCAAAATAGAGTGCAAAACTGACGATGCCCGTTGGTTTTATTTATTCTAAAATCAATTTCAATTGTTTTGGTTTAAATATTTCAATGATAATATTTTTTAACTTTTTTTGTGCAGAAAATGAGGTAAATTTTTGTTACATTTCGTACTACGTCGCAAAATGCTGCACTCAAGGGACGTTGCCATGCCGCGTTTTTCGTAATAATAATGTTAATTTTTAGGCATATTTTAATTTTCCAAATATATCAAATTCCTCATAATTATGTATATTCGGTAATTCTTGTATACTTGCGAAATGCACATTTTTGATAAACACCCCGTAACTCTGAAACGGTAACAGATATTGATGTGCGGTTTTCACCATCATGTTTTTGATGAAAATTGAGCTCCAGACACCGATATTAGTTTTCGTCTATCTCCTATAGAAAAGGGTGTTTCCATTTAAAAGCGTCGAATTTGACCCACCCTGTACATATTGTTTTTAAAATCTTCGTTCATTTCTAAACAATTTTCATCTCTAAATTTTTTTTTCGTCCCATGGTTTTACTTAAGAAAATTAGTCACTTTACTTCAGGGTCATATCGCTAAAAATCTAATGCGGTAACTGTTTGTGAGGAAATCTTTTCTGCATTGGATGGAAGGAAATTAACACATAAGAAACAAAAATGTACATAAAAAATTCTATTTTGATGTATAGAAGATATATGAAATTTCATAAAGATATCTGTAATAATAACAGAGTTAATATGAAAAGAAGTTTTTTAGAAAATTTTACCACCTACGAATGTCCAAATTTAATTCAGTCATACTTTATTTCTTAAGTCTTAAACGCGAAAAGAATTTGATTAAAAATTAAATTTTCTTATTAGGTTTTATTAAGCGATAGCGATGAAGATAAGCCTCCTCCACCCAGACTTGAATCTTCAGAAGATCTTTTTGACAGTTTGGTTGGTACAAAAAAAGATCCTGAAGAACAGAAAGATACGGAGACAGAACCAACGTCACAAAAAAGGAAAATTATCTCAAGTCAGTCTGACTCAGATCAGTCAGACATTCAACCTAAAAAGGCAACAAAACCGAAAGGTGAAAAAAAACCGAGAAAACCAGGTTAGTGCACATAGTATTTTATACGTTAATAAGTTCATAAACCGCCAAAAGGAATAAAATATAGAGTACTGGTTGGGTTTGGTGCGGGATATAAATTTAAGTATACAGGGTCGGTCATAAAGTCGTGGCACATCAAAGTTTCATTTTTTTAAATGGAACTCCCTGTATATTATTGCGTATTTCGGTTCTTCCTTCAATTCTAAGCAAAATTCGAGATACACACAATGTACAGGGTGGTCGAAATTGGTCTGTTTTAACAGGGAAAGCCTATTTCCTGACTAGATAGACCAAAACCGACGTAGATGTCATGGGCTCGATTTCTGAGACACGTTTAATGGCATAAGCCGCTTGTTGATATTTTCACTGCCAACTGAGATACGGGGTCTTTTTGATTTTTTTACCATTTTGAAAATTGCCCATAACTTTTTTAATTCGCGGAATAATAAAATTCTGTAAAGACGTTCTTAAGGCACTTTTTTAAGCACAATCCAGTGGCGTAGTCAGTCTTTTTCTATACTTGCTCTTTTTGTCAGAAATAATAAAAAATATAATTATTTAAATGAAAATCATAGTTGGCTATGAACTTAAAAAAATGCTGATGTTTAACCCTTTGCAACGATATAAAGTTATGGGTATTTATTTCTAACAATGAGAGAAATATTAGGGTTTTTATCTTTGTATCGAAGCGGGCCTTGATTTTGTGTTGACCTAGTTGCCTAATTATTTTTTATCGCAATTTCATATTCTATATTATTATTTATCTGCAAAATTAAAGACTTTTGAAAAGATAAATCAACATTCTATATTAGTTTTACCAATTACAATTAAAACGCCATTAAATGGAGAATTTAGAGAGAATCGGATTGGAACAAGGGACCCCATATCTTGGCCTGCTAGGTGCTGTGATTTAACTTCTTTCTAATTTTTATGGGGAAAATTAAAAGACCTTATCTATAAGGGAAGAACCACTGGGACGAGAGAAGAATTGGAGAAGGCTACTAGGCAAGCTTTTGGACTTACACCAGTTCGCCTAATAAATCGCTGTAACTCTGTGCGCAAGATGTTTATTATGTATTCAACAAGGAGGTGCTCAGTTTGAACATATTAGACGATTTTTTTTTAGAAAACTATATTCGTCACTCAAAAAATACGTTTTTTAGCTTTGTTCTTTGTTTATTGTACCGATTTCAACTGTAATTACTAAAACTAATATAGAATGTTAATTTACCTTTTCAAAAGTCTGTAATTATGCAGATAAATAATAATATAGAATATTAAATTGCGATAAAAAATAATTAGACAACTAGGTCAACACAAAATCAAGGCACACTTCGATACAAAGATAAAAAACCTAATATTTCTCTCATTCTTAGAAATAGATACCCATAACTTTATATCGTTCGAAATGGTTAAACGCCAGCATTTTTTTAAGTTCATAGCCAACTATGATTTCCATTTAAAAATTATATTTTTTATTATTTCTGACAAAAAGAGCAAGCATAGAAAAAAACTCACTACGCCACTGGATTGTGCTTAAAAAAGTGCCTTAAGAACGTCTTTGCAGAATTTTATTATTCCGCGGAATAAAAAAGTTATGGGCAATTTTCAAAATGGTAAAAAAATCAAAAAGACCCCGTATCTCAGTTGGCAGTGAAAATATCAACAAGCGGTTTATGCCATTAAACGTGTCTCAGAAATAGAGCCCATGACATCTACGTCGGTTTTGCTCTATCTAGTCAGGAAATAGATTTTCCCTGTTAAAACAGACCAATTTCGACCACCCTGTACCTTAAACCAACCGTTTCTGTGTTTTGAAACTATGACTATGACTTTTGAAAATATCACTTAAACAATTTGATTTAATTAATTTTGATTTGGTTAGGTTCATTTAACGATGCCATTCTGCGGAAACTGTGATGCTTAATAATATTTCACATTAGTTTTCAAGTTAGCATTTATAGATGTATAAAATGAGATTATATCAAGTCTGGAAATTACAAAATTTTTGTTTAACATTGGAAAATCAAAACTTTATAATTCGAAAATTGTTGAATTTAGATACAGTATGTGTATTACGATTATGTATCCAAACTTTGATGTGCCACAATTTTATGACCGACCCTGTATACTTAAATTTATTACTCGCTAATAGATATTTAAAAACCCTATAACTTTTATATTTAACTTTTTGCGGTACCTCTTATATTTTACCTAATAATCGACCGTTCCCATACTAATCAGCGACACTGTATAATCCATATGGCTCAGTTCTTAAAGGGTGATTCACCTAATGCTGCTCAACATTTTAAATAGGAAGCGATCCCACAGAAAATATTTTAACATAGTTAAAATTTAGTGTTTTATTTTCCATCCCAAATTATTTCGGTTTAAAATGGTGGAGATTCTCGCATGTTCCGTTGCCAGATGGTTGCTTTGCGTATAACCATTTTCTATTGGCCAATTCTACGCTCAATGGGCTCCTTATGTTAATCAATAAATTTATAGATACTGTTTGACAAACGGATCTAAAAGAATGGGGCATCGGTAAGGGAAATAAATGCAGGTCTCATCAAACCTGGCGGATTTCATTCATAAAGCATCCAAATATGCGTGCGGCGTTTTAAAAAATATATGAGGAATTTTTATAATAAAGAGAATATATAACAGACGACCTACATAAACACAAACACAAATAAACGCCACCGCCGAGTCAGCAAATTACTGCAACTGCTTGGCAATTGAAGTTTTAGTAGGTTCCTGTCTAGATAATTATTTAGCAAAAATAGTTTAGATTTATTATTTACGTATAAGAGCCAATCTAAATATTTTTGTATAAATATTCATAGGCTTTAACAAATAAATTAGTATCAAACCAACAGTCGTTTGTACTAACTCCCTTCCATACCTAAGGGTATTTAATACCTGGTCTCACCCTCATACCCTACAATTTACAACATTCAGTTTATCCTACAGTGGATACTGAATCAAAGTTCCTCAAACGCAGCAATCCTAGATTAGATTAGATACTTCGAGGTGGCGATGCCTGATCCACTGCGACCTTTTCAGATCTATTGTGGTCCTCTTCTAATCCTTAGGTTACATTCTCCAGTCCTATCCTTTTCACAAAGTCTAGCTACTTGGAGACTGAACCCTTCATATAGGTCTCTGGCAATTCTACCTGTCCGCGGGAATCCAAACCAACCTTCAGTAAATCCTAGAGTAGATACTGAAGTTTCAGAAGGACGGTTCCTCATCCGCTGGAATCTGTTCAAGGATTCTAATTTCTGTACTGTAATTTCGGCTTAAGACAGGTAGATATCAATATTTTTTATTAAAACTATAATTATAAATTTTCTTCTGACCACTCTATTAATATATATTATTCAAAACACAGAAAAAAGCGCGCGGAGCTGTTTCCACCAGCGCACAGTGGTTCGATCTTATGGGAGGAGCTTAATCGCTGCGATTGTATCGTAGTTTGCCATTTGTTGCTCATCTCTATTATCTACCCACGGATCTATAAAATTTGAACGAAAGGGTCGTAAAGATGTAGTAAGGATTGAATCGGATCACAATGCGATCATTCGTTTCTACGGCTCGTTCGTTCGAAGAGACGTGAGAATTAATTCATTGCTTACAATACGGTTCGTTCAATTGAATCGTGGCCAGCACGGATCCTTAAAATTTGAACGATGAGCCGTAAAAAAGAGTCGTAAGAATTGAATCGAATCACAATGCGACTAGTTCGTTCCTAAAAAACTTATTTATACTGTGCTTAGTAGGGGACTATCTGTAATGCATTTAATTTTCGTGTTAATATTTTTGTTAAAATAATATTTACCGATTATAAACCATTAAATTTCGGACTAAAAGACGAAATCGTATTTTATGCAACTTCAAATAAATATTGTTGGCCTCTGCTCAATATGATAAAAAACGGCGTTAGCGATGGTTATGAAATGAAGATTGTTGTAATTTTAAATGAAAATTTTTGTAAAATTATACGTCATCAATGTTCATTTTCAAGCCAACTGGACTCCATTTTTTTTCCATTATGTGGTATTATATACTATTTATGATATTATGATTATAAAAGTGGAATTAAAATATGCCGTAAAAAAATTAAATTGATAAGAAGTCTTTAATAAATAGTATATATGAATTGGATTGATAATTTAATATTATTGGTAAAATAACCAATCCAATTACGGCAGTGCCATAAAGCGTTGAAAAACAAACCAAAGAATATTGTATATTTCTTTTTCTGGACCCCCTTAATTAATTGTCCAACCATATTATCGCCGGTAGTGCCAGTTATGATTATTGTTTTTATGAAACGTAAATTGTGCATGTGGTTCGTTCAAATGAACGAATCGTAGGAGTCGATTCAATATGAAAAAATGAATCGTGCCATTCAATTCACTGAAAAGAATGGTAACGCCCATCACTAAGATATATATCTCTTCGTCTACGAATCTGTGATGTAGCACCAATAGAAAAGCATTTTTCGTCATTGAATTGTGGGTCAAATTTAATTATTAATTTAAATATTTTTCAGATAGAACTCATTTTACTTTTATACATTTTAGCTAAAAGGATATTGGTAATCATAAATAAGAACCCGACACGTGTAAGGGGGACACTTTATGCTTCTCCTTGCAAATAGTGAAAATATTGACTAGTATTGAAATATCATTGTAATTTATACCGTTATTTGTTCTGTATATTATAAAAATTTCTGGTATATTTTTTTAAACGCGCCGTACGGATTTTTGGATATTTTATGAATTAAATCAGCCATGTTTTATGAGACCTGCGTTTTCCCTCCGATGTCCCATAGATCCGTTTCTCAAACTGTATCTATGAATTTATTGATTATCGAATGTGATACCACAAGATGTTTCGGGATTACCGAATAATACTTTTACCTGACACGAAATGCGTTACCCGGCAAGACTACGACTCCGACGGAGGAGTAGTGTTGCCGGTATCGCATTGAGTGTCAGGCAAAAGTATTAGGTAATCCCGGGTCCGGTGAACTATCCTGACACACGATTTTTGCATTTTTCTTTTTGTTATCAAAAAATAACCATTTTTAGTAGTAGTTTTAAATAAAAATAAATGGAGATTATGCACAGAATTTTAAAATATTTTAATTTAATTTTAGTAGTTTTTGACACATATTCGACGTTATGGAGAATTTGAACACTTGATTTAACATGACAGCGACAGAACGAAAGGCAATGTTGCCAGTTTCACTGAATTTTCTTTTTCTGTTTTTTACTTTTATTTTGAAAAAATAGCCATTTTTAATAATAAAATGCGTTGGTAATGTGTGAATGGGAAAACTAAAAAAAAAACAACAAAAGAGTGAAACAAAAGCAATTAAAACACGCTTACGCTTGCTTTGGTTATTTTTGTTTCACTCTTGTTTAAACCAAAATATCAATCAAACAGATAAAAAGGAAATAAAACAGCCAAACCAACCTATACAAAACTAACCAATACAAAACCAAGCCAAACCAAACCAACCAATTAAAAAAAATAAACTGTAAGTTCCTTAGTGGCTTACAGCTTACAGCGTGTTTTCATAGACGTTACAGCGTGTTTTCAGCGCTATAGCTATAACTATAGCAATTGTCTCGCCGGCGCGGCGTGGAGGTAATTTAGCCAATTTGATTAACTAAAGTAATCTAATTCGTGGGTCCCTAATTCGTATTAAAAACATTTTAAAACCTATGACGTCATTTATTTCCCTAAAAAAAGATGCATGAAATTCCGATAATTTACTAGCTGATCTGATAACCATGTATCATTTCGCAATATTTGTCAAAACTCGACTTTTGCTACTATCAGCGTAAACATAGAAATGGGTATAAACAAGTCCGCGACTCTTTCATTATCGGTTATGGAATTTGCCCGGGAATTTGATATAAAAATAAATTAACAACATTTTTAAGAATGTTTTTTATGTGAAACGTGTTTTTCCACATCAGATTTTAGTCAAATAATCCACGAAATTCATTTTAAGGTAACATAAGCTTCATTTTCTAGGAAAAATCGTGTGTCATGATAGTTCACCGAAGCGGGTAATCCCGAAACATCGAGTCGTATTCAAAAGATTATACAACGAAATAAAGTACATATATCCTTCTTATCTTAACCATTTTGTAATAAGAATTGACGGGATATTTTGTGGAACTGACAAAAATGAATTCTGAATTAATATTTCAAAAAATGACAATTACAATATCCACCAAGCGATAATAATTCAAATTATTATCACTTATTAATCACATCCCTCTATATAGGAAAAATATACATAGTTGTATAGAGTTGTATAATCATAATTACTTTTTTCAATTTCAATTTCATATTTTAAATACCTATAACGACTTTCTTTGAATTTTATCTTTTCAAATATAGCTAAGAAGAAAAAATTCAGCGACAGTGAAGATGACGAAGTCCGACCCAAAAAAGCTAAAACGCAAAAAAAAGCTGTCAGTAGTTCTAATGATAAGGAAGACTTGGATGAATCTGATGATATGCCATTTGCATCACAAAGAAGTAGACCCGGAAGAGGGGCAGCAAAAACAAACTATGTTTTTAGTGACGACTCCGACGACAATTATTAAGTACCTACTGTAATTTCTACTTTCCGGTAATTTATAATTGCTCCTAGATGTAATTATTCTTATTTTATACAGGTCTCAATCATGTTTAAAAATGAAAATGTATTGTGATTTATTTTCTCTTAACGTTTTATGATTGATATTTTAAATTTTTTAAGTTGAGATATATGAAAACATATCCGTTTTATGTCTGTACTGAATATAATCATCATTTTGACAGTGGTGTGCATATAATGCAGACAAAAGGGCGTTGCCTATCCCAGGCAATATAATAAAATATATTTTTTATATCATTACATTATAACTTTTTACTATCCAACAATTAATATATTAAAAAAAATTTTCGATGACTGGAATGGCTAATGTGTAAGAAAGAGATAGAATAAGAAAGTAACGCGTGGTTTAATTTTATCGACGTCGCGCGTCGACTTGTCTTGTACAGTGATGCCATATCTGAAAAAAGAATTCCTAATTTATATAAGAATAATTATTTTAATTACTTAATAAGTTACTTATGCTTTTCTTGTTTTATTATTTTGTCAATTTTTGCCTATTTTTTGCTTTGATCTGAGCTGCATACCACTGCATTTTGATGAAGCAAACAATTTTTTTTGTTTGTTTTGTACTTCGTAAATTTAATATAATATATGCAAAAAATATTGTTTTTTTTAATAGTATAAAATCTTTGTATAATCTGTCCAATGGGAAGATCCCTGACAGTGACAGTTGTGTCTGTCATTTTAATTCACAGGCAAATTTCATTTTCTATCATTTTTTGGTTGTCGTCTGTCAAAATCTTCCCCGAGTCGTTGGCCAGACCATAGGAACCTATAAGTTTTGTAAAATTATTTTAAATATGTATTAATTACACAATATAGGGGGTCATGTTTTCTAGTGTTTTGCAAGTTTTCTCGTTTAGAGATGAGGTAAAAAGATGCGGTTTATGAAAACTGTTTCCTAAAAAGTGCAGTAAGCGCAGTAATGTGAGTTACTGCTCTAGTTTTCTGTCAAACTAAATATGCTATACTCTGTTTTTTTTTTCTCAGGTAAGATTTCGACAGACGATGACAGAAGAAAAGCAGATGACGTCCCATACCAATCTATTTATTTTACTAAAAAAAGTTTCTAATAATTTTTAAGTTATCTATGGATGGGTTTAAATATAAATCCGTCATGCGTCGTGTCTTGTTGTTTTTAACCAGTTTTATTGGTTTATTTAAAAAATGACAGATCGTATTTCAATTTTATTGGTTTGACGGAACGATGAACGACAAACGGACGCCGATGCGTATGAACTCGCCTTTAGATTTTTGTCATTTTTGACGCTTGTCAAAGTCTTGCCAAATTCTAGGTTATAATTTTGTGTCAACTTTTGTTAAATACCCTGCGTTTTGGAATATGATGCATTTTGATTCGTATTATTACGTGTGTTTTGTGTCTTTTGAAGTCAAGTGGAGGAAAAATCGAGTGAAAATTAACTGTAGACCCAGAGCACAGTTTATGGTTAATACTCGCTGCCAGGGCAGAAAGTCTTATACACCAATGAAGTTGCTATCGATAAAGTTTGTATACCATTTCGTCGTAGATAAGTGCATCTCGTATATGGTAGATGGATCAAACTAAACACATACTAAAAACTGGAGTAGCTGTAAAATATCGACATCACAAGATAGGTAAATAATGGATTTTAGTACTGCAGAAAAATAATGTCAAAAGGTACTGGTTTAAAAAAATTAAGATTAAAGTTAATTAATCAACCTTTAAGATATAAAATTTGGTAGGTGTTATTATTAATAAAATAGTTTGTTTTATTTACCTATGTTGTTTTATTTATTCCTGTGGAATATTACAAATTTGTATTTGTACATAAGTTATATTGATAAATATAATCATAAATGCGGGTATAGTCTGTCCAACGAGAAGATCCTTGACAGTGATAGATGTGTCTGTCATTTTAATTTCAAAGTAGTTTATTTTATTTTACAAAGAAATAAGTTGGCACAACTGGAACGCATAGCAGGATATATTTAAAATTTGATTGACAAGATGACAAGTGATTACTTCAAAATATTGTGAAAAAAACTGTATAAAACTGAAAAAATGTAATCGAGTTATTTTATTTAATCAAAACGGTATGTGTTAATACAAAACAAACAAGAACAAGACACTACATACCAAAAAAATATAAAAAAGAACTATTATTTACTTTCAAGCTTTATGAAACTACCCGCATTTATGATTATATTTATCAATATAACTTATGTACAAATACAAATTTGTAATATTCCACAGGAATAAATAAAACAACATAGGTAAATAAAACAAACTATTTTAATAATAATAACACCTACCAAATTTTATACCTTAAAGGTTGATTAATTAACTTTAATCTTAATTTTTTTTAAACCAGGACCTTTTGACATTATTTTTCTACATTACTAAAATCCATTATTTACCTCTCGTGTGATGTCGATATTTTACAGCTACTCCAGTTTTTAGTATATGTTTAGTTTGATCCTTCTACCATATACGAGATGCACTTATCTACGACGAAATGGTATACAAAATTTATCGATGGCAACTTCATTGGTGTATAAGACTTTCTGCCTGGACAGCGAGTATTAACCATAAACTGTGCTCTGGGTCTACAGTTAATTTTCACTCGATTTTTCCTCCACTTGACTTCAAAAGACACAAAACACACGTAATAATACGAATCAAAATGCATAATCTTCCAAAACGCAGGGTATTTAACAAAAGTTGACAGAAAATTATAACCTATAATTTGGCAAGACTTTGACAATCATCAAAAATGACAAAAATCTAAAGGCGAGTTCATACGCATCGGTGTTCGTTTGTCGTTCATCGTTCCGTCAAACCAATAAAAATGAAATACGATGTCATTTTTTAAATAAACCGATAAAACTGGTCAAAACAACAAGACACGACTCATGACGGATTTATATTTAAACCCATCCATAGATAACTTAAAAATTATTAGAAACTTTTTTTAGTAAAATAAATAGATTGGTATGGGACGTCATCTGCTTTTCTTCTGTCATCGTCTGTCGAAATCTTACCTGAGAGAAAAAACAGAGTATAGTTTCATAAAGCTTGAAAGTAAATAATAGCTGATAATAGTTCTTTTTTATATTTTTTTGGTATGTAGTGTCTTGTTCTTGTTTGTTTTGTATTAACACATACCGTTTTTATTAAATAAAATAACTCGATTACATTTTTTCAGTTTTATACAGTTTTTTTCACAATATTTTGAAGTAATCACTTGTTATCTTGTCATTCAAATTTTAAATATATCCTGCTATGCGTTCCAGTTGTACCAACTTATTTCTTTGTAAAATAAAATAAACTACTTTGAAATTAAAATGACTGACACATCTATCACTGTCAAGGATCTTCTCGTTGGACAGACTATACAAACTTAGTTCCTAAATACAGGTCGAATTTGAAATTATTGCATTTTTTGACACCTCTCGTATCTCGTTATCATATCGAAAAGGTGAGAACAGTTCTGTAGTCTTTCACGTAGAATCCAATGGCGTAACTAGATTTTCGCTGAAAGCTGTCATTTTCGAAATATGACTTATACTATTTTTTTAAATGGGACGCCCTGTATAAAGGGTGCTACAAACTGTAATAGATACGAACATGGTTAAATTGGGGCAAAGTTGCTCTTTAGGATGTTCACTAAGATGCAATCAAAAAAGTTCAATTTTCAAGGATTGCTAAGTTTTTTGGAAAAAACGGATTTTTTTGAAAATCAATTTAATTTTATCCTGGCGTTATTTTTTAAAAATTAAAAAACTAAGTGCACATTCTCATAGCCACTTTATTAGAGCTATCTGATAATATTTTTAGATTTTCAAACAGCTGATAATTTGTGAGATACAGAGGCCAACTTAATTTTTTAAATTATTATTTTAAAAATACGGACCTGTATTTTCTATTTCAGGTTTTGAAATAACTCTGTCTCCTGAGTATAATGATATGCCACACTTTATAATTTTGTTTTTTTCGTTTCTGACATTTGAACATAATTTATTTAAAACTAATTTCAAGTCCGGCTCTGTTTTTTTTTAATATTTAATCTATTCATCATTACAATATTAATAAGCTTTCAAACTTAAAAGTCACGTGGGGCACGTGGGGTAAAACATTGAATACGGAAAATCAAATGCAATAACTAACGGGGCATTACATTGCGTCATTTGTAAAAGTGAAATCAATACATTTCAATATTTAAAATAAAGAGTACAAAATGCATACGGAAGTATAAGAAGAAGTTATGTTCAAAGAGCTATAAATAAGATTGAACCAAACAAATTTGTGCATTAGGAAGGGTGGTAGCCCTTTCCAACATGTAGAGCATTAGAAACTAGTTTGTATAAGTTGATTTATTTATAATAACTACGATTAACATTGTGCATATATTAGATCGTACTCTAAGATTTCAAATTCACATTAAAAAAAGTTAAAAATAATATCTTTAAGTTGCTGACCTGAATATTATTTATTTGAATCTTTCAATTGGCTCGATTTTTTTATTCAGTGTTCATTAGCGCTGATCAATATTGTTGCAATGAATATAATCAGATTAAATAATTTAAAAAAACCAGAGTCGGACTTAAAATTATTTTAAGTAATAATTAAATAGTTTTGTTATTGTTAAAGTACCCAAAACAAAAAAAAGTATCAAGTGTGGCATATCATTGTACTCAGGAGATGTAGTTCTTTCAAAACCTGAAATAAAAAATGCAGGTCCGTATTTAAAAAAATTAAATTGGCTTTTGTATCTCACAAATTATCAGCTAATTTAAAAATCTAAAAATGCTATCAGATAGCCCTAATAAAGTGGCTATGAAAATGAGCAATTAGTTTTTTGATTTTCTGAAAAGGTAACAGGAAAAAATAAAATTAATTTTCAAAAAAATTCTTACTACCCGAAACAGCGTTACATCACACAAACTTCGTACCCGAGTGTTGTATAGTTTCATTAAATCCACTAATAATAAACTAAACTACTAAGTAATGAAAATTTCTGATTTCTGCTCTAAAGAGCGCTGCGGTCGGAATTTTTTGAAATCAGCTGAAATGCACCAAGCCTATACGTATTACGTAACGCAATACCGTACTAGGACGTACCTTTTTTGGTAATGGGGGTGGTTTAAAAACAGGGTTGGAAAAAATCATGATTTTTTTTAAAAAATCAAAAAAATCAGATTTTTTTTAAAAAATCAAAAAAATCAGATTTTTTTGATTCAAATCAGATTTTTTTGATTTTAATAGAAAACATTATTTAAATCGGATTTCCAAATAATTAGGAGTTAATTCCAATTAAAGTCCTATCCTAAATGGCTAAATCTTCATAACTCTGCCCAATACTGACAACATTAACAATTCTACGTCGCGTGTCATTTTCCCTCATCGGTCACCAATATATTCCGCAAAAAAAGTCGCACGCATCAGATCAAAATGATTTATTTTGAAATGCCACAAGAGTATTAATTTTTGTCATTTCTATGTCTAGGCATAAAAGTAAAGCACTTTTACGCCTAAGCACAAAAGTACAAAAATATATTATTTAAACTGATATTAAGCGTCAATTTCAACGAGTGTACAAATTGTTTAAACTCGATTAC